GTCAAAGAGGAAGCTTCAAGCAGGAAGGAGATTCTTGAAAAAGTGGAGAAATGGATGTCAGCTTGTGAAGAAGAATCTTGGCTCGAAGAGTACAATCGGGTAAGACATTTAATGTCAATCTATTCCTCTGCCTCAATCTTTTCTTTTGTTCTCACATTGTTGGCTTAGCAGGATGATAACCGATACAACGCTGGAAGAGGAGCTCATCTTACATTGAAGCGTGCGGAAAAAGCCCGTGTACTTGTCAATAAACTTCCTGGTAACATTCTTGCTCTTTAGATTATATTACAAAAAAAAAACCATCACTCATAACTTATGATCTTTTGTCCATTGCTTTCTGCTGCTATTGATGCAGGGATGGTGGAGGCTTTGACCACCAAAGTCACTGCTTGGGAGGATGAAAGAGGAAATGAATTCTTATATGATGGTGTAAGTGTCCTTACTGATCAATGATCTGTTCTACTCAATTATCAAATCAGCATCTTTACACAAAAGCACGTAAAAATTTCAGGTCCGAGTTTTATCGATGCTTGATCAGTACAAGACTCTATGGGAAGAGAAAGAGCATGAAAAACAGAGACAGAGAGTAAGTAAAACTGGTTTTTTCTATTCTTAACATTTGAGCCAAAAGCATCATTAGCAATTTTGACATTGTTGCTTTCATCTCAGGATCTGAAGAAACTCCATGGACAACTCATAACAGAACAAGAAGCCCTTTATGGGTCTAAACCAAGCCCAAATAAAAGCGGAAAGAAACCACTGAGAACACCAGTAAATGCTGCCATGAACAGAAAACTCTCCCTTGGTGGTGCCATGCTTCATCAAAGCTTGAAGCCTGAGAAGGCAACACTCAATAGCAGAAGGTCGAATTACTATGACCAGAACGCTACTAATAGAAGAGATTCTGCTCTTCCAACTCCTTCAGGTACATACTAATAACACAAGATTTTGGTTTACATTTTACAGAGACCAAGAGAGAGATTTGTGTTAATAGAATTATGTCAATATCTGTAGGAAGGAGAAACTCAGAGCTTCCTGGTCGTATCAGATCAAAGAACGTTTCGGTTGCAGGAAAAGCTGCGAGATCTCCAATGCTTAGGAAGCCTCTTTCACCTGTCACTTCCAATATCTTGAATTCCCCAGAAGATCACAAGGATGCTTACACAACAAAGGAGAGAATCTTGACACCTAAAACCAACGAAGAAAACAAAAGAGCTGTTCCAACAACTCCTGCAGCTTCAGTCGCTATGACAGAGGCAACAACACCGTTCACTCCTGCTGTGGAGAAGAGAATGGATGAGGAAGACGTTGTTGTTGAGTACTCGTTTGAAGAGGTTAGAGCCGGTTTTCGCTAAACCGTGAAAAACCTGGTTTCCTCCCTTTAGGATGCTGCTACAAAATGTATCCCATTTACTGCTTTTTCTAGAAATTTCAAATCAGATACTTCGTTTGATGAGAAAAGTGAAAAAAAATTAAGTGTTGGTTTGTTCTGAAGAAAGAGTTTTTAGCCGCTTAGAAATTACTATTCAACAACTTTCTCATCTTGTATTTACCATCACCACACATACTAAAGTACTAAACTAACACAAAAGATAACCTAATGAGCTTAGGTTTACTACTGGTCCTGATCACAACAGCACAAATCGATGTATTGATTTCGTCAAACGACGTCGTTGCGTCAAACGACGTCGTTGCAACCCGAACTTTATGTAACAACTGAAATCGTTCGTAACCAAACGGTCAAAATAAAGCAAGGGAAAGTAACATACAACCCTCAATTTTGTCCTTTTTTTTTTTTTTTTTGCCGGCGTCTCTTATTTGATTTGATGTCCCACAAGTAATAAATACTGTAGATACTACACATGCTATTATTTTTTTTGCAAAAATCCCCTCCAATTTATTATAATAAAATAGAAAATTACAAACGAATATGATGGGAAAACTCCGTCCCAGTCCCACTAGCATCCTCCAACATAATCTGTTTGACTAAATCGGGACAAAAATCAAATGAAAGAATATCTAACTGCAATGAAAAAGCATAGTTAGCTATTGCGGAATTTAGACATAATGATTAAATATCAATGTATAATAGCGTAGTTATATTTTTTTTTTAGCGGGATCAGATTACAAAAGTTACACAAATTAATTATTAACACAAAACCTTTGATTTTCAGAATATACTCAAACGGTAAATATACGGTACATCACTACTTCCTCTCTTTTAAAATATTGGATGCTTACATATTTTAAGAAATTTATTTATCTATATTAAAAACTATAATTTAATATTTAATTTAAGAAAATACAACCAATAATATAAAAGACTGCATGATACAAATGATTATAAAATATCAAATATATTTAAAATTTGCATAAAAATTTGTAAAACATCAAATATTTTAAAACAAAAAAATTCCTAAATAAATAAGGAATATTATTTATTAGTTTTTCTTTAATTTAGTATAATTTTCAATCAAAAATTTAAATAATTCGCTACAATCAATTAGATCCTTGATTCATGTCTTTTCGATTGGATTATGTTTGAAAAATCATGTCTATAAAACAAATAGTTTATTTATTGCTCTACTTATTTTTTCACGAAACGATGTTTTTTTGTTTACTATTTCCTTTGTCAACAATGTTGTTTTAAAAAAAGAAAATTTGGATACAAAAAAATATGATTTGGACCAAAAACGTAAATTTCATCGTCCCCAACGGAGGCTGCAGTTCGTAGCCGTATATCAAACTTCATTGGAAGACCTTCCCTGAGCTCGCAAGATTGTGAATCCAAAAGAAATAGTTTAGTGGTATCTAAGTCGTCGCGTAGCAAGTAGATGTCAGAACTAATGGCCAGATTTATGCATTCCATGGTGCGACTGGGTCAAGATAATCGGAGATCGGGATCGATACGAACACATTCTGGTTATTCTCATCTGTCTTAAACATAAACCATTGTCGCTGGTCAAAACTATCATATATTTTGGGATGGCAACTTATCAAGATGTGATCTTTATTAAGCCGACGGCGAAACAAATTCATTTGACCGGATCTTAGGATAGTGTTGAATCTTTTTGGTATCGTCAATAGCCTTTTGTAGAAGCTTCTTGGCACACACACAACAAGATTTCCATAACAATTTCCTCCGACAGTGAAGGATATGAGTGCGGCTCCGACTCCGACAATGGCAAAATCTTTATGGATTCAGCCATTGAAAATTTGTGCAGGCTTTGTTCTCTGTCATGAAACTCTCGTCCGATCTTTTAACTATCAAACGGTCTTCTAATATATATTGGATTTCATATTCGTAATTTATATAGGGTTCAAGGAAAAAAAAATTATATACAAGATTCGATTGGTTAAATATGTTCCAAACATGAAATGAACAAAAATTAAAATATGCTCTACAATAGTTAAAACTTAGAAAAACATTAAAAAAAAAAACGTAATCCAATTTACATGAACTAAACATAAATAATAGAAATAAAAAAATTTAATTAATTTAATATAAATATGCTATGTATGAATATTTATGTAATTATTTATAAAATATATGTTAATATTTTTATATGTCTTAAACGGGAATTTCCCTTCCCGTCCCGTCTTGTCTGGTTCCTAGTCGGGAATACAAATTAAAATTGGGCGGGAATGCATTCTCATGTGATGTGATCATGTGAGTCGAAAATTTGGGAACGAGTACGGGATGGAACGGGAATTATGCCTACACCTACTTAGGTGTACAATGTACTTATCAAACAATACAAATGTGAGTAAAGCTTAATACTCTCGAGGTTAGTGATGTTTTATTTGTTTTTGTCGTATCTTTCTTTTCTTTCCACTGGTCTCAAATAAAAACCAAGAAAAAAAAAAAAACTCTACTCAATTATGAAGCATTAGATTCAAATTTATGTTAGCCTTATAATTATGTAAATTTCTTATGCTAAGTCCTTTCACAGTTTTTAGTGCACAATCAAAGGTCATCCTGATGTTTCAAGTCTCCTAGGTTTCAAATAGGGAACTCAATCCATGAGATTCTGAAAGAAATTATTGCACTTGTGTAATGTTGAGTTTGGCTTTGTCTTATTTCTGGTGCTTTCTCTATGCTGTGATTCTGTGAATGAAGGTGTTCAACAACCTCAGATGTTTGCGTATTAAGAGTTCCAAGCATCGAGGATGGCAAGCAATGCCGGTTCTCTTAAGGAATTGTCATTTTTAGAAACACTAGTCCTTGAGGTATAAACACAGCTCATTCAATTTGTCAAACATTATATATCTAAGAAAGACAGAGATCAATCTTTGAAGCTAAGTCCCTTATTATCTCCTTTCTGCTCTCAGGGTCTCTTGCACTATGTGACGGATATGGGGATGCTTGTGACTGCATATCTCGGGAGAACAAAGGGCGTTCGCTCATATCTTTTCCGGTGAAGAAGTTGCAGATTAAAGGGTTCCGAGGTACAACGAGAGAGTTAGAGATGACAAAGCATTTCTTGGAATCTTTTAGGTGTCTGAAGGAGATGAAGATTTATGCTGAAGAGAATGATGGTACAGACCTCCAAGTCCCTAGAGAGTTTGAACTCTACAACGAGCTTTTTTAGTTGTGATGCCCGGTTCCTGGTGCGTGGTTCTTTGTATAAGACGTGGACCACAATAAATCAAGTCGTCAAGGAAGAAAATTTGTCCTAGTTTTCAAAGCTATGATTAGTCTCGGACCCTTGTGGAGCAATTAATCAAAGTTTTACACACTCTAATACAACAAAGGAATCAATAAAACTCTATCGTTTACTTATAGCCATTGGGCCTTTTTGCTTCACCTTCTTCTTCTTCTTTCTTCTTCTAACTCATCAACTTCTTCTCCTTTCATGACTCTTCTTCTCTTCGTTACTCTTCTCTTGATTAAACGTTTGCGTTTAGTACTTGCGGTTGTGGTAGTGGTTATGTTTTAGAAAATTATGACTTGCATTGCGTGTGTCTACAATTGTTTCCAAGATTCAAGAGTTGTTCAGAAGGCAAGAAAACAACTAAACACCTATTAGTCGATATTTGGAAGCCATAATTTGAGATTTACTACATAATTTGGTCCAAATCTTCAAACCACAGTAAAAGCCAACAAAAAAAAAAAAAAAATCCTCAGCTACAACAACAACAACATCGTTTTGGTTTATGGTTTCAGAAACATTTCCGGTGAACCACTGATGGTCCAGTCTCGTCATAATCTGCTTTAGTAACATGCTGATTCTGCGGAAACACCACTTTAGCTAGTATGGCTCCTCCAACCCAAGCCGAATACATCCCCAAATTCTCTGGCATATATTCCGGTGGTTTCACCAGTGTTGGCCTAATAGCAGATGAGCACAAGTTTGCTTCTTTCTGAAATCTACTTTCGAATCCTGCCAACGACCATTCCACCAAACCCTTCAGTTTTCAAACCCAAAAGATATTTAAACACACAATTGTATCAAGTGCTGTTATTACCTGTCATGGAGGTGGTACCACCACAAAGTACAGTGTTCTCCAAGAGCTGCCTATGGTTCTCAGATGATACTGTGGAGATAATCCGGACAAGCTGCTCAACGATTCCGTGCTCCTCCAGTCCCAGTATTGATGGCTGAAACAGAGCTTCTCCAACAGAGTATCTCTCTCGCCCGATGCTTATCACCTATAAGGCCATGGTTTTGTGATCTATATGTATAAGGTAACAGAAGATGTAGAATCTTGATTTGTAGTCACACAAACCTGTCCATCAGGAAGAGTATGCTGCTCGATTTCACAGTTTTGGGTTTTCTCGTAAGCAAATTCGTCCTCGGCACAATTTGCATACTGCTCCTTCAGTTTTTCAACATCAGACATGCTGAGATTCATCGACGGGTTGGATTTTCCAAGCTCTTGGGCAAATAATTTTGTTAGTTCGGTTCCACCTAGCTCAAACCGTTTCGAGGCAATGTGTTGTACGGCACCTTCAAGAACTGGGGCAATATCTGAGTACACCGGAAAAGAGTTAACAACAACTGTAAGATCAATCACAAAGTTAAAACATCAGACATAACAACATCCTGATCATACCCAGCTATAAACACAAGAGTCTCCAATCTACTGCAACTTACAGGACAAAAAATATTTGGTTTAACAAAACGTTTTAGAGCATGGATAAAGGTTAGTAAAGGAAAACAGCATCTCATGTAACATAAACTCAAATAAAACAGGGAATTATGACAAAGTGAAAAGATAAAAAAGAGTAAGTTCAGATTATAACAAAGGCCAAGCAAGTTGTTATATATACCCATCTTCCCATGGCCAATATCAACAGTGCAACCGGAGATGCGTCCAACAGCATAAAGGGACAACACTGCTTGCTCAGATGCATAAAATCCAGAGACATTGAATGTTTCAAACATCAATTGCACCAATTGTTCCCTAATAGCCTGCCCACAAACAAACATTTGCAGAACCAAATCAGGTCGAAACATTAAAAACCACAGTATTTTGCTATCTAAAATGAGGAATATGATTATGGAAGACGAAAAGAGACTACAAAAGAAATCAAAGTTCTTACCTTTTCAATTAAGAACAAAGGAGGAAGTTGAGATACGAACCTTAGGAGTACATAGTGGATCTGTAAAAAGTATATTGCCTTCGTTTCCCTCTTCCCATCCAAGCCCAGTGTAGACAACATAACGCAACAAATCCTCCATAGCATCCCAATCTCTAATTAAACCCCTTTCAATAGGATCAAGAGTGACATCTTCAAACACAGTAGTGGGGTTATCAGCTGAAGAAGACCCATCATCAACCATTCGTTTCATTTGAGATGGAATTATCATCGCAGGAGACTGGTCAGGAATTGCTGCTCCTGCTTTCAGGAGCTTAGAGCCAGCATCAACAACAAGTGCTTCCATCGTTTTCACACACACCCTAAAACCCTAAATTCACAACTTTCCACAAATGCGAAGAATTTTACTAGTAGCACCAAGTCAGGGAAGCTAAAGAAGAGAAAATGAAAGACGGAACTAGAGTAAGAGAAGAAATAAAGGATGGTTTTTTTCCGAAGAACCCACCTTCAAATCCTTACAGAGGAATCCGGATTTTAGTAGAAAAACATCAAACTCCACATATTCCCCAAAATTAGGGTTTTAACTAGATCTAGTCTTAGCTAAGCTATGGTAAAGTTTTCTACAGAGTACGACTACAATCGATGGTCTAAAAGGAAAATGGAAGAAGCTTACGAGTTTGAGTGAGAGAACAAATCGAAGAAGAAGAAGAACAAGAAAAGAAAAAAAGATTTATTTCCAGGAAATCAAAGCCCAAATAGGCCCATTATAAAGCCTATTACAGCCCGTTAATTCTCACGTCTAAACGGTATCGTTTTGGGTCTGCGTCTTTTTCTTGTTAACAAAGCCAGAGCTAAGATCCGAAGTTTCTTTGACATCAAAAACACAAACCCGAAAAGTTTCTTCTGCCATTTTTACATTCTTCTAGCCCTAGCTCAAAGCTTCTCTCTCAAATCCGCCATGACTAAGCAGCACGCGAACTGGTCTCCTTACGATAACAATGGAGGGTACGGATCGTGTGACCTTTAATCAACCTGCTTAAGTTTCTTCGCTTTTAGTGTCTTCTTCTTTATTCTGATTTGTTATTTGAGTGTTTGTGTTGTGATTTACTACTGTGAATTTAATCGTTGTGTGTTTTTTCAGAACATGTGTGGCCATCGCTGGATCGGATTACTGTGTCATCGCCGCCGATACTCGGATGTCTACTGGTTACAGTATTCTTAGCCGCGATTACTCAAAAATCCATAAACTGTAAGTGCTTTCCTCTTCCTTCTGTCAAATTCCTCACTTGTTGATTCTTTGGGAAAGTGATTCAGTGCTGGCAATCGAACTATTGTTGTAGATTATTAGGGTTTTTCTTAATTTTTCTGGGGTTTTCGTAATCGATAATTCGTAGATCTGGATGAAACCAGTTATATTTGGGTGAACATAAAATATATATTTTTTCTTGATTACACATGACTTTTGAGATTGGTTACAATTATCTCTAGTATAGACTTTGTGGTGACATTGATCATTCCTTGGATTCTATAATCCGGTTTGTTGCTTAGCTTACTTTTGTTCTTATAACGTTTATTGACAATGTGCGTAGTTCTTTGAGTTGTTCAAACTTATAAAAGAGTTTTACTGTGTTGTTGATCTTATGCCAGAAGTATTCATTCGTATGGAAAATAGATAGAATTCTCATGTGTTTTCATCTTATGTAACTTGGAAGACTCTTGTTAAGCTGTTGTCTTCTCTTAACTTTTCCAGAGCAGACAGAGCTGTGTTGTCTTCCTCTGGCTTTCAGGCTGATGTGAAAGCATTGCAGAAGGTTCTCAAATCCAGACACTTGGTGAGTTAAACTTTTGGTCGTTTGATCAAATATCTTTCATCCTTTGCATTGCATATATCAGTTTTTATTTTTAAAAAGTTAAAAAGGACCGTGTAAGAGTGTTTCTCTGTGTTTGTTTTCCTGCAGATCTATCAACATCAGCATAACAAGCAGATGAGCTGTCCTGCAATGGCCCAGCTTCTCTCCAACACGCTTTATTTCAAGCGGTTTTTCCCCTACTATGCCTTTAATGTTCTAGGAGGGCTTGACGAGGAAGGTAAAATGCTTCTTCTTTTTCTCCGTTATGATGTGACCATAGATGAGGTAGTTGTGTGATCTTTATTCTTGATTATTTCCAGGAAAAGGGTGTGTCTTTACTTACGACGCCGTTGGATCATATGAGAGAGTTGGATATGGTGCTCAAGGTTCTGGTTCCACACTCATCATGCCTTTCCTTGACAACCAGCTCAAGTCTCCAAGTCCACTTCTGCTACCTAAACAGGTTTGTTGATATTCTTCATTCGTGCTTTGGCGTTATGCACTGTAAGGATAAAATGAATCATTCAGTTGCTTATTTGTTCGTCTTCCACCATGTAGGATTCGAACACACCCCTATCAGAAGCTGAAGCAGTTGACTTGGTTAAAACTGTTTTTGCATCTGCCACGGAGAGGGATATCTACACTGTAAGTTGTCCTATTTGTATCTTCTTTTGTCACCATGCCACCAAAAGCTCGCCTATGTGTTCATATCATTTGCATTTAGTTCAAGATATTGCCAAAACATTTACGTAATCTATATCCGTGATATTAACGTTGCACACCTACTTTATCTTCCTTAATTGTTTGTCTGTGACTAATGTTCTGTGGATTGTTTGCTGTAACAGGGAGACAAGCTTGAGATTATGATACTTAAGGCAGACGGTATCAAGACAGAACTCATGGACCTGAGGAAAGACTAAGCTTCTTTTGTGCATTTAGCCAACCGTATGGGTTTGTTTTTTCATTTCAACATTAAGCTTCCTGAGTTGTAGAACTCGTATGAACTGCTACTGGGTTTGATACTTTACAATTAAAATCATGACTCATGTTTGAAGTTTCTCCAAAACTGTTTCCTTTTGTAAGAATCACTCGAATCCTTGTCTTAAATCACTGTTTCTCTCATGTATGGCAATGTTTTTACACAAGGGCATCGCATTAAGATATTGAATAGACAAGATTAGAATCTGGAAACTCTTCTGTGTCTTCAGAAGCTGTTCTCCGATACCCATCCCTTCTTCTCTAGCTCTTGTCGCAATGCCTCCATATGTAAAAAAATGAAGAAATGTGAAAGAAGATTAACTATTAGCTAGTGGCAAAAACAGAGAGATTTCCGTATCAAGTTGTTACCTTTATTCGCTTTCTATTCACATCAAAGTCGAAGTTCCCTTTACGGGATGCAGATCGATATTCCACTTTCGAGTTCTTCCCAGGAGTGAACAAGAATTCAACATCATCTACTAACTGTCAAAAACCAATGGGATTTGTCCAAAATCTTAAGGTATGGTGGCTGAGAGAGACAATATAAAGCTTACTTAACTTACCCCTAAGATTGGACTTTCATATTCAACATGAACATAGTCATCCTTCTTCTCCACAATCCGAGGAGTAAATTTGTCTGGTTTCACCGACTTAATCTGCAACAATGGTGATAAAACCGCTGTAACTAGGGGACGAATGATCAAGAACTTTGAATGGGGACTAGATTCATATCTTAAGATCTTAGTTTGTAAGGATTGTACCACATTAAGAAGCTCTTTCATTGCAACTTGTCTGTTCACAGGTGTTTTCCTTCCTCCATTATAGTTCCTGCCCACCAGGACAACAACGACAGTGTTTGATGATCAAATCTTTGAAACAAGAAGAACAAAATCTGAACACACAGAAAGCTCTTGATTTACCAAGGTGGAGCATAATGCACTCGATCACTGATATTCTCAGAAGTGGAGATACAGTTATTAGTGGCAGGACATAGAGCCAATCTCTCGTTCTTTTGTACTCCGAGATAATCTGGTTTTTTCCCACTAAAACCATCCACAAACATTTCATCATCATCATCATCATCATAACACCTGAGCCGTGGAAATGTAGAATTCCGGTGAAGAAAACGTACCTGAGCTGGAAAATAGCTCCGATCATAGCTAATTCACTGCTCTTAAGAATGACCTCTCTTCCAATTTCACAGAAATTTCAAAATCAGATACTTGGTTGGTTCGGTGATAAACAGAGTCTCAAGCAAAAGAGAGAGAGAGTACCTTCGACCAATTAGCTTCGGATGTTTGTCATCTGAATTCTCTGGAATTGAGGCGCTAATACGACGGGCATCGGAACCAAGTTTTCTCCGGCATTTGTGGTTGTGGTGGTACAAGCAAGTGGTCGGTGACGCCATGGAAGCCATCTTCACTAGCTCGGATTTTCTCTTTACTCTTTGGAGCAAGAAGAAGAAGAAGAAGAAGTTTGTTACTTCTTACAGGGCTTACTATTATCTATCTATTATTGGCCCATTGGAGTTTACTAGTTCGTTCAGGAGCCCAATAACAGAATACCCACATATAAACTACCAAACTGATCTGCTCCTTTTGATTTTGAATAAGCTAGACCAAGTCAACTAATAACGTTAGTTCGTAAGTTACTATGTAGAGATATTACGTTATTATAATATTGTGTAGAAAGGTTTTCAATAAGCCCGTCTAGCTCAGTTGGTAGAGCGCAAGGCTCTTAACCTTGTGGTCGTGGGTTCGAACCCCACGGTGGGCGATTTGTTTTTTTTTTTTTTTTTTTTTTTTTTCATTTTCGTTTTTTTCCTTCACTACTCAAGTCCTTGGAGAATTGAAGTCATCATACTCAACTAAAAAAAAACTTATTACTAGTAAGATTTCAGTTAAACTTGATTTAAGTAAAGCTTTTTTTTTATTCTTTCAGTGCTTTTTGTTTTCTTTTTCTTTTGCAGAAGATAAATTCATATTATAATCTTCCAAAACCAAGTCAAAACAAATTTTAGAATTTTCATGATGTGCATTCAAGAACTAATTAGGTGGTGTTATTTAAGTTCAATTTTTTTTTGTTTGAGCCGAATAAAGAAAAACTATTTTAACCTTTGTCTTCATTATTCAAATTTTTATTTCGAATATTGACATATGTGTGTTACATACAGTTTACAATGTCACTTTAAACATCTTATAATTTGAAATAGAGGAAATACAATGATACAATATATTGCTATTATTATCTTTTTCAGTAGCAATCTTATAATTTGGTTTTATTGGTCTTTCTCGTTGTATCTTTCTTTACCTCATTCTAAATTTATAATATTTGTGTTGGCTCTTTTTTGTTTGTTTTGCTTATCTATCGAGAAATTACCAAAATGTAACATTTTTATACGGTAGTAGTAAAAAAACATATTATTATTACACAGTTTGGGCTTCTGAAAGATTGATTGATTGACTAAAAGTCATTAAATTACAAATCTTGAGTTTCGTCTGAAATTTCTTGTTAGCTCCAAAAGAGGAAAACGAATCCAAGAAGGAGAAAAAGTCTCATTCTTCTTCAAGCTCCCCCATCATTCCTCCTTCATGGGGTCTCTGCATCTTACAATTATCACTCTCATTTTATTCCTTAAACCCCTTCTTTGATTTTGTTTCCAGCTTCTATAAAAAAAAAAACCCTAAAGACCTCTTCGAAATTTCCCCAGAAACACTTATTTCTTTTGCTTGGCCTTGAATTATCTTCCTTGACTACGCGTCTTTCCCCTGACTCCTGTACCAATAAATCAACCCTGAAGGAAGGAAGGAAGGAAGATCCGAAAAAGGTTTTCTTTCGATCGTTGCTTTGACTATGCATAGATCTGGTACAACAATGGCGTGGAACGTATTCAAATTCTGTACTGCCTTACGAGGTCTTGGGTCGATCATGATCCTTTTGGTTCTTGGTGTTGTCGGTGTTACTTATTACGCTGTCGTTTTGACTAATTATGGCCCTGCACTCTCTCAAGGTGGCCTTGATTCTCTTGCTGCTCTTACTATCTTAATCCTCTTCCATTTCCTCGTAAGTCGCCAATTCAATCTCGGAGGAGTAAAGCTTTGAGCTTTACTCAATTCGGTCTATAAAGTTTGGTCCTTTTTATTGCTTTAGATGTGAAGTCTTGTTCTGTTTTAAATGGAAGTTTTGTGAATTTAGACACGGATGTGTTTTTAACTTGTTGCAGCTGGCAATGCTTTTGTGGAGCTATTTCTCAGTTGTTTTTACTGATCCTGGTGTTGTGCCTCCTAATTGGAGACCATCTACTGATGAAGAAAGAGGTGAATCTGATCCGTTAAACAGTTTGGAGTTCGTTGGTTTACAAGCTGATTCTTCTTCAAACCCAAGAGTTCGGTTTTGTAGAAAGTGCAATCAACTAAAACCTTCTCGTTGTCATCATTGTTCTGTTTGTAAGTTTCCTCAGATTCTCTTTTCTTTTCTTACCATATATATTCAGAGCCTTGAAACTGAATTGTTGTGAGGTTGATTTCAATCTAGGTGGTCGGTGTGTGTTGAAGATGGATCACCATTGTGTTTGGGTAGTTAACTGTGTAGGAGCACTGAATTATAAGTATTTTCTTCTTTTCTTGGTAAGTTTACTTTTATACTACTAATGTTTAAAAATCTTCTTCAGCTTGTAATCTGGTACTCTTGTCACAACTTCTGTGGTTTTTATTATGTTCAAATGCAGTTCTACACATTTTTAGAGACGACTCTTGTGACTATGGTTCTTATGCCGCACTTCATTGCATTCTTTAGTGATGAAGAAATACCTGGAACCCCGGGAACTCTTGCTACTACTTTTCTTGCATTTGGTATGTTCAGACTTCCTTATACTCGATATGGTATTTAGTGTAGTTGGTTTCATTTATTAATCAATCTCACCTTTTTTCATCAAATTACAGTTTTGAACTTGGCATTTGCTTTGAGCGTGATGGGTTTCTTAATCATGCACATTTCTTTGGTAGCTGGCAATACCACAACTATAGAGGTAATTCCTTTTCTTTTTCTTTTGACTTGAACCTTTAAAGTGTCGGTACATCCCATGACCAAAGCTCAAAGCTTCTGTTGCATAAATGAGAATTTGAGTTTTGGTGCATCTCATGGCTAAGGCTTTGAACTTTTGCTTAAATGAGATTTGAATCTTTCAACTCCTTACACTTGCGGTGCATCCCATTGCTGCTTTGAGCTTTCCTTTCCTTAAAAGTTAAAATTTGAGTTTTTAGACTCTTTACTGTTTCAGTGCATTCCCCATACCTAAAGCTTGGAGCTTTCTTTGCTCAAATGAGAATTAGGGTCTTTAGACTTTTTCTCATGAAACTTTCTTGGTGTTGAGTTGTGACAGGCATATGAGAAGAAAACCAGTACAAAATGGCGGTATGACCTCGGTAAAAAGAAAAACTTTGAACAGGTTAGTTGTTAGTTAAAGTCATTGGCTTGATTTCTTCTTCCATCTGAATTTATCACCTTCAAAGTTATAAGCTGCTTTCTTTTCTCCCTCACTGCTATGGCTTTTTTTGGGGATTCCATCATGTTTAGGTATTTGGAATGGATAAGAGATACTGGCTAATCCCAGGATACACAGAAGAAGATCTAAGGCGAATGCCGGAGCTGCAGGGACTCGAATACCCTTCGAAACCCGACTTTGATTCCCAGTGATACTGAAGAAAATGACTTTGATCATCATCCTCCCATATGTAAAACAACGATACGTAGAAAACAGAGGAAGTCGCATTTCAAGGAGAAATCTACTAACATGAAGATTGATGCTTCACTTTAGGCAGTGTAGTGTCTTCCCACGGAAGGCTAAATCATCATCAAATTTGTGGGTTTGTAAAAGAGGAAGATTACAATTTAGCTTTGTTGGCCACATATATGTTTATCTTCTTCAATATATAGTTCATTTATATGATCTTATTATTATAAATGTAGAAACAAATGATTTGCCCTAAATCCTCCTACTCTTTTGTTTGAATCAGATCTTACAATAAGATAAATCCCATTTGACCAAAACAAAAAAACACAATAAGATAAAACCAGATAATATCCAAACCAATACATATCAAAACCTCAAATATCCAGATGTCACATTAAAAATAGAGAACAAATACCAAAAACATAGTTGTTGAAATTTTAATCCTCGAAGTAATAAAGGAAAGAGTACCAATGGATAGATTCGAACCAAAACTCATCATCAAAAGCATTCGATAGTAAAGTAATCGTTACCTTTAGGAAGTTCCATTAGCTTGGCCACTTTTGCTTCTGTCATTAACTGCTTCACTGGAGGATACGTCGATGTCTCTATCATCAACTTATCAATCACTGTTCCTTGTGTCACAAAACGTGAAGCTAATGCAAATTCCTCTTCATTGGAACCATCAAAATTATACATCCATACAGTACGAACGCGGAAGAAAGCATCTGGAAATGGTTTTTCACCATCCAACCATTTGTTACGTGCTCCACCATTGATAGAAGATTCACCTTCTTCCCTAGGAGCATTGTTGTTCTAAAATGCAAATATGTATATGACATGTGAGTGACAAAAGTGTTCAAATTTATCCACATAGAATTAAACCATGAAGTAAATATATATACCTTGAAGATGATCTCCAGATCCTTCATTTCTTCATTCCACAAAAGTAAGACTTCCTTCAAAATCTTGAGTTCGTTAGGATTTCTCACGTCGACACTCACTGATAAGGATCCATACCGTTTCATATTATAAAATTGGCTCACCAAAAGCTCAAGCCAAATTCTTTTTTTCTCCTGAAATTCACATACAAAACAAAACATGTCAAAATTATAAATTATATTTTCAAAATATCCAAAGGCAGTTACTTGTACTTGTACCTGAGCAAGACTTGATATATGGTAGCTAATATGAGGGACACTAATCGCACCAAACCAATAATCTCTATTAAACATGATTTTAGGTGCATCAAGTAAGAAGCTATCACAATATATATATTTGATGTCAAGAATCTCCAAACGAGGTGCATTCACTTCCATCTTATTTATCAGAGTAGGGCAAGTCACTTGCAAGACTTCTAAATTCTTGTTCTCGATCTTCAACACACATCCAAGTTTTAAGCATGTGATTTGCAACACAAGCACCTCAAGAGAGGAGCAAGCTTTGAAAACTCTGCTAAGGACACTAACATCGGACATGATGTCAAAAAGCTTGAGGGTCTTAAGATTGGAGCAGTTATTGAAGGCTGTCTCTGTTAACTTATATCGAGTAAGTGACAGTGAAGTGAGGCTAGGATGAGAGAATGTACTTGGGGACAAGTAAAGCCTATTATATCCACCGAAAGGTCCCATGCAACCTATATAGTTGACAAGAGTGAGCTCTTTGGTTTGTTTCTCATGAGTCACTGTTTGGACCCACCTATCGAGCGTACCATCTTTACATTGGAATAAAATATGGCTGATTGTGCAGCTCTCTAGGCGGCCACGATGATTGTTTATAGTCTGCACAACACAAATTAAACTTGTTTTGTTAGATTAAATATTTAAACATATGCATACAATAATCGTTGTCAATAAAATATATCCTTAGCTTATATATATATATGTTGGAATTTTGGGAAAATAGCTACCTATGCATGATAATTGACTTTTGTGTGTGAAGTATGTACATACTATCAATTACCAATAGTTAACTCTATTATTTGAAAGAGAGATATATCAATAGATACTTGATGTGTGGTTATATTTATTTTATGATGAGTAAACACAAGAGGTCACTTCTGTGTAGATTCTCATTCACTATACAATTTAAATACATTCAATAATCAATTTAATATCTATTCATTATAATTTTTAGAAATGTCAAAATTTTGGCGCGAAAAAAGCCGTTATCTAATACAATAGATCATAAGTTATCTAGATTTTTGGCTCGAAAAACCGTTATGTGAAATAAGAAATGCATCTCACGAATCTCTTTATAAATAATCTATATGGATATCCATTCACCAAACGTTGTGTATAACATTTGTTCTACCACAACTTCAAAAGTACTATAGGATCTATCCAAACATCAGTTGATTGGTCGACCTATTTGTGTATTTTTAAAATATATATAAATCTTCATAAAGAAAATGATTAAAATAAAACCTTATAAGAGAAAGGGCTGAAAAAAGGAAAATTAACAAACCCTCGTCATTGATTCAGCAACGCGGAGAGATATTTCACGAAGACGGCTCGTCGGGTTTGTTCTCGAAATATTTCTCATGCCCACGGAGAGATGTGGTCTCCACTTCCACTGATCCACCCATCTTTTCGACAAGGTGCTTGTTTTCACGGCATCTTTAGTCGATAGTGTCGAAAGGATCTTTTGTAACAATTCATCCGGAAGCATGCTTATCCGATCGATATTATCGACCGGATATTGGATCCTTTTTCCTTTTGGTTTAGATGATGATCCTGTCCATAAAAGTTTGCCTCTTGCATTTGATGATAATGGTGGTGGTGTTGATGATGGGGACGACGATAATGGTGATGATGATGATGATGATGATGATCGTGTCGTCATTGATATTTTGGATGGTAGAGGTGATAAACTGCACTCTGACTTAGAAATGGAGTTAGCGTTTATAAAGGGAGAAGAAATTCAGGACTGTTGCTTATGAAATAATTATTCGAAGGATAAGAGAAACAAAATATTTTAGTAATTTATTTTTTGTAATAGATTTCTTTATTTGGGCTAGCTATTAATTTTTTAATTTTCATTGACCTTTTAATTTATGAAAAAAAAAACATATAGGGAAATAACTTTTAAAGGACATTTTAAAAGTTATAAGGAGAAGGATATCCATTTAAGCTATTTCTCCCAAATACATTAAAGTTAAACAAATTTTTTTTTTTTGATAAAAAAAGTTATACAAATTAAATTGATTCTGTGTAAAATACAAAATTATCTTCAGATGAAAGTAAATTGTGGACTATCTATAGTATTAGACACGTGTACGAACGATTATTAGGCGTGAGATGCGTTACATTTTTTTAAGAAAATAACACATTTAAGCTAATTCTCCCAAATAGTTGATGGCTCATAATCCCACAAACTGTTTAACCTACATTCTTATTGTTTTTAGCTTATATAGTGGAATCATGTTGTTTTAAAAATGATCTTGGTTAAGCGTTTGTTAGGTCCTTAAGAACACAATGATTAATTTGTGTCTTTAACTGATCGTGAAGTCTAAGACCAAGTCCACCACGTTTTTTGGGGGTGTAATCTAAGTGTCCTTAGCAAGTGAGTGAACTCTAGTCCGAAGCAATTAGACAATGGATTGGTTTGCCAAATCTGGATTATTAAGGGTATAATCGGTTTGTTCTCATCTAATTCAAAATAACATTTTTGGGAAACAAATCTAGAAGCAAAAGGAAGCTATACATTTGGAAACAAATCATCCAAATTCTTGACTTGGCGAGATTCTTTTCTATATATTACATGATTAGAAATGGTATTTGTTATGGAAAAATACATGGCATGTTTTTGATTAAAGGAAAAAAAAAAAAAACGTTGACTAACGCTTAAACAAGTGTTCCTCTCCAGATCGAGGATCTATGTGTTTAATCCAACGGCTAGGAATCTTCTTCAAATCATTACCACCACCACTGGCTCCCACGTGTGCGATTTCTAATCCTCTCCCGACGGGTAAGAACACCGACCTCACGACACGTGTGCCTCGTCTCAAAACACCGTGCCATTTAAACCCAGGGATAGATTTCTGCGTGGCGTTTTTACACACCAAAACGGCGCCCATTTTACTCGTTTTCGCTAATCCCAACGCCTTTACGAACTCGCGGCGTTTCGAATCAACCACCATGAAATCCACGCCGGTGATTCTCTCCACCACGTCCTCCGCCGAATCTAAAACCATAACTTCCGTTGATTCACTGTTAACGGCTCCTTTCATCACCGCCTCGTACTCCGACCTTGACTCTTCGTCAGGAACTATGCACACGTGTCTTCCACATGTGTGTATCGCCGCGACGGCGAGTCCGACGCTGGTGGCAATCGGATCTCCACGTGACCAAGTCTCGACGATCAGCCTAGTGTTCCATCCCGCCGCCGTAGCCGATAAGAACTCCGCTACACTCGATTCTCTGTAGCTTTTACACTTCAAAGACACATATATACATATAACATCAAGATTATAACCCATATACATCAAGATCGACTAAACAAGAATCACATATACCTCCACAGCGAGTAAAAGATTACAATAACTAAAGAATTGTAATTCATATACAAATTCAAGATTTCTTTGATCAAGATACAATTTAGGTCATCAAGTTGTATTGACGGTGAACAAACAACAAGAGAAAACAAAAGATGATGTACAAAATGCGCCATGTGAATTAGAGGAGGATTCTTACTGATCTAACGGTGTGGATGTAAGCGTCAGAGGCAGTTTCCGGTGACCAGACGAGCTTCATGATCGTATTCTTGTGTTAATATCTTGATAAAAATGTTTGCTTAAGAGAGAAGAAAGGGTTTCTATATATATAGGGAAGTTGAGAGAAGGAAGGTGATGACAAGACGGTTAGGCAGTTAGGTTAATAAATGGGTGTGGTTTGGCTTTAAGGATTAGCGTTGACATTTGTTTAACCCAATCATTTACGTGTCCTTCATTCTCTTCTATTCTCCCATTTATTTCTTTACTTCGATCCTCAGATTTTGTTTTGAATTGCATTTAATGTCGATAAACGAATTTATTTCTTTAGGTCTAGGGTTTCAATTATACACTCTGTGCAACATATTAAATGTTGTTGAAGAACTTTTATGATCATGCGTCTAAAATGACGTTTATCACATATTAAACGGAAGTATTCGTTTGGGACGACTGTGATATATATGTAGTGTAACGTGCTAGTTAGGTTAATGTGTATATAATGACGTTTATCACTATTTTGTGTCTGCATACGTTGTGCATAAACCAATATAGCTAGGTTCCGTTTTGGTTTGAAATGAGTTTTGTTGTTAACTAATATATATATATATATATATATATATATATATATATATATATATGCTTTATTTTGTTATCCACTTATCCTTACTTAGGTTGATGACTACTTGATTAGACTTTAAATCAGAAACATTGGATATTAGTGTAATAATATAGTTTCAATTAACAAGTTCATTACACAGTAAACAACTCAAAAAAATTTTATACTTAAAACCTGCTAATACTGATTTTGAAAGAAAAAAAAAATACAAATGCTAACCAATTTAAAATTTCATATTTCACAAAAGTCAACTATTTTCGATACGGTGCCTCACCTATAAATGAGTTTCAAGGCCTCTTTTTATTGTTGACTTTTCATTTTAAATGGGCCTATAAATGAAAAATTAAAGCCCATATAGCTTTCAGAACAAAATGACCTGTGGCACGACCATAAGACACGAGATATATATAAAGGAGCAATTTAGGGTTTTTGGATTCTCTCTAAAGCGCAGTCGCAGCCGGAAGAAACCAACCGAGGAAGAACGATCTCAGTGAGAGGAAGATCACTTCGCCGTCGCAGCCATGGGTCGAATGCATAGTAAAGGGTTCGTTTCTTCGTTTCTTTCTCGTCTCTGATTGAGTCTTGATTTGAAAAACGTGTTCTCTTACATTTTGTTGTGTGTTCTGTAGTAAGGGTATCTCGGCATCTGCTTTGCCGTACAAGCGTTCATCTCCGAGCTGGCTCAAGACAACTCCTCAGGATGTAAGATTCGTAGACTTAATCTAGATTTCATTTTCAATTTGTGTTTCGAAAATGTTACTTGCTACCTCCCGCATGGCTTAACATAGGATTTGATTCTGGTTTTGGTTAGGAAATTTGGAATATGAGAATCTTGTGCCTTTTAGATTTGGTTTGTCATGGACTTTTATTTTATTGATGTGATTTGTTGTTTGTTAGTTTCTAATCTTTTTGTGACATATTAAGAAATGGAGTTATGATCTTGATGTGATAGTTCGTTTTAGTGATTTAATCTGTTGATGAGTACTATCTGTGATGTATTGATGTGTTTGCTTGCACTCTCCAAGTTAGCTTACTTGATGCTTCTTTGAGAATAAAGTGTTTAGTTTGATTGGTCCTGATGTTTGTTTTGATAATTGAAATAGGTTGATGAGTCCATTTGCAAGTTTGCAAAGAAGGGTTTGACCCCATCGCAGATTGGTGTCATTCTTCGTGACTCTCACGGAATTCCACAGGTGAAAAGTGTTACTGGAAGCAAGATTCTCAGAATTTTGAAAGCTCATGGTACTATTCAATCTCTCTTGATTCTTTTTTTAAGTGTTTGGTTTTTTTACTAATTGAATAATCAATGAAAGTAATAGATCTTTTGTAATTCTCTCTAGGTCTTGCACCTGAGATCCCTGAGGATCTGTATCACTTGATCAAGAAAGCTGTTGCTATCCGCAAGCACCTTGAGAGGAACAGGAAAGATAAGGATTCCAAATTCAGGCTGATTCTTGTAGAGAGCAGAATCCATCGTCTTGCTCGTTACTACAAGAAGACCAAGAAGCTCCCACCCGTCTGGAAGTAGTAAGTACTTGAACATCTAAGAGTTCTTTAAAGTTCTCGATTATCATCTCTTGACTTTGAATTTTGATGCCAACTCTTGTTCTTGCTTTTGCAGCGAGTCTACAACCGCAAGCACTCTTGTGGCTTGAGAAGAATAGAGTTGATCATGGCCTTCAAGAAGGACCATTTCATTGTCTGCATTGCAACTCAAAGCTCTTCTTCTTTTGAACCTATGTATCTGTTTTCGCTAGTTTTGATGGGTTACAGCTTGCTATGAGATTTTTGATTTTAGGCAACGAATTTGTTTATGCAAATCTTTCAGACTGGTTAATGTCAATTGTCGTTCTGAGTGAATTTTTACAACTTATCTCTTTCGCTAGTAGCGTTAAAGTTGAAGATAATTTAGTGTTGGGCTTAAATATTTTCTTTAATACTTCTTTCAGTTGCATGTTTTTCTTGTCCGTTCCTTTTTAACTCATTGGAGGAATAACAAGTACGTGCAACATCATCAACTTGGTGGATGAACAGAACAGAGTTACAAGATTTGTGGTCGTTTCGGCACTTGAGAGGTTCGTTCTGGTCAATTTTAGGAAAAGATATGGAGGATAAAAAAATGGTGAGGCATCAAGAGATGTGACAATTTGGAATCTAGTACTTTTTTTTTTGTCGAAAGGAATCTAGTACTTTAGTTAGGCTTAGGCTTAGGATATCTCATGGTAGAAACTTCACCATTCCTTCAATTTTGGATAAATATGGGCCCCAAATGTAGATATACCTTAAAGAAGAACTAAACCCTGTTTTCTCTTGTCCACCCAATGCTTATGTCTGTTTATGTAGGTAATATTTTAGTCTACACCCCAAGAAACAATTGCTAGAAAGTTTTGCTGAAATTCAAGCATTTGACATTACACGAATGATCATGGGAGTTTTACATTGTCTTTCTAATTTGTTTCTCTTCTCAAACCCAAAACCTATGTTGACCTGAAGTACAATAAACAAAAAAACAAAAAAAAGGTGAAAGTCTTTGTGTCTTGTTGCACTTTATTTCGAGATATGAGACAATGTTGTGAATAGCCTTTGTTTCCAAATCAAGTTTCAGACAAAACCCCACAGAGAGGATGGTCCGATCTTAAATCTCTTAGAAGAATGACTTGGCCGCATCAACAACAGCTTCAACGGTGATACCGAACTCCTTGTAGAGTAAGGGTGCTGGTGCGCTGGCCCCGAATGAATTAATACCAATGGACTTTCCTTTGCCTCCAACAATCTTTCCCCATCCGAAAGTCGAAGCTGCTTCGATACTGACTCTAGCTGATACATCAGATGGCAACACACTCTCCTTGTATTCATCTGACTGCTCGTCAAATAGTTCCCAGCACACGAAAGAAACAACTCTAACGGTTTTGCCTTCTTTCCTCAGCACCTCTGCAGCCTGTGCAGCAATCTCTAGCTCAGATCCAGTTCCAATCAAGATCACATCGGGTTTGTTGCCTGAAGAGTCGTCAGAAATTGTATATCCACCCTTTTCGACTCCTTCAATGGATGTACCTGGAAGCTGAGGCAGCTTTTGCCTAGACAGAGCTAAGATAGATGGGGTCTTTCGTTTGGTGACAGCGATCTTGTATGCACCGGCTGTTTCGTTTCCATCAGCAGGACGGAACATAAGAGTGTTGGGCATAGCACGGAAACTTGCAATGTGCTCAATGGGCTGATGGGTTGGTCCATCCTCACCAAGACCAATAGAGTCATGGGTCATAACATAGATAACACCAGCTTCAGACAAAGCCGAGATTCTCATGGCACCTCTCATGTAGTCAGTGAAGACAAAGAAAGTCGCACAATAAGGGATAAGACCAGGGCTGTGAAGGGCAATGCCGTTGCTGATGGCTCCCATTCCGTGCTCCCTAACACCAAACCTAAGATTTCTTTCTTCAGGTGTGGCCTTTTGGAAGTCGCCAAAGGCTTTCAGCAATGTCATGTTGGATGATGCAAGGTCAGCACTTCCACCAAGGAAACCGGGAATAACTTTAGCAAGGGCGTTAAGACATTGCTGTGACAGGTTTCTGGTGGCATCACCTGGAGACTCTGGTGTGTATGTCTAAAAAAGGAAAAAGAAAGATGTTCTTAAAACCCATATCTAGAATACAAATTGGATTGTACGGACTACAAAGAGAGTTCTACTTACAGGTAGAGCCTTCTCCCAGCCAGCAGGTAATTCACCCGTGATAATAGATTTCAACTCAGCAGCTTCCTCTGGGTACTTCTTTTCATATGCTGCAAACTTTGCACTCCAGTCAGATTCAAGAGTAGCTCCTTCAGGTGTATGACGACTCCAGTGGCTAGAAAAGTGCAAGTCAAACAGTAAGTCATCAAAGCAAATTCAAAGCAATAAAACCAAACATAAGCCTGCTTTAGATTTACTTACCTTTTAACATCGTCAGGTACCTGGAACGGCTCATACGGCCATCCAAGGTTATTTCTGGTAGCCTCAACTTCCTTCTCGCCAAGTGCAGCTCCATGGACACTGTATGAGTTTGCCTTGTTGGGAGACCCATAACCAATGGTAGTAGTGACCTGAATTCATTGGGATACAAGCAATATGGTAAATCCATATCAAAGGTCTTTAGACCAATCGATGTTTGATGGTTCGAAAAATTGTGTAGTTACCTTGATCAATGTAGGCTTGTCTGTAACAGCTTTAGCTTCCTTAATGGCAGCACGGATCTCGTCATACCCAGTGTTTCCATTCTTCACCCAGATAACATGCCATCCAAGGGCTTCGAAACGCTGGTCCACGTTCTCAGTGAAGGCAATTTCTGTGTCTCCATCAATGGAAATGTGATTGTCATCGTAGAAAGCAATGAGCTTTCCGAGTCCCCAATGGCCAGCTAGAGAGCAAGCTTCATTAGAAATACCCTCCATCTGACAACCATCTCCAAGGATCGCATATCTAGACAATCAATAAAAAAAAAAGGTATTTCTAATATCAGAGCTATATACAAACCAAGAACGACAACATAAGTATGGGTTTATATATTACGTGTAGTGGTCGACAACTTCAGCATCAGGTTTGTTGAATCTAGCAGCCAAATGCTTCTCAGCAAGAGCTAAACCAACAGCATTAGCGATTCCTTGTCCAAGAGGACCTGCATAGCAGCCAAAGCAGAGAGCACCACTGTAAGTTATAAAAAGTTTCTGTGAAATTTTACATGAACCATAAGCCAAAAGAAGCAAAATCTCAAACCAGTAGTGACTTCAATTCCAGGAGTCTCGAAATTCTCAGGATGTCCTGGTGTCTTGCTTCCCAATTGACGGAACTGCTTCAAATCTTCCTCCTAATAAACAAATCCAAACACTTTTTCAGTGAATGACTTTCAACTACTTCAAGCAGTCATCAGATGAATATTAAAACAGATTCAATCTATGAATTTCAAAGGTAAATCTATCCACTAAAGTTACTACATTCATCAATTACGATCAGATCGAAAGCCATTAAACAAAGAAGAGATCACAGACCTGGACACTGTCGTAGCCGGCAAGATGAAGCAACGCGTAGAGCAACATACATCCATGTCCAGCAGATAGAACGAATCGGTCACGGTTGAACCAATAAGGGTTCTTGGGGTTATACCTCATGACCTCATCATACAAAATGTGAGCCATCGGAGCACAACCCATAGGAAGACCAGGATGACCTGAATTCGCCTTCTCCACCGCATCGATAGCCAAAAACCTAATCGAGTTGACCGATTTGTCCACAATCGACGAATCAGTGGTTGGCTCAACAGTCTCAACAGCTGCAGCGCGAACAAGAGGACGGAGAGAGCGGTTCTTGTTCATGGATTGAGCGATACGTCGACGAGACGAAGCAGAGGCGCGTGAGCCAGTGGATTTGAGTCCAGAGAAAGCTGGTAAAGATCCACGTTGGTCAGACCCATGGTGAGAGATTGCACGAGCTAGGAGAGCTTGAGAGAGAGCGAGGGAAGAAGTAGAAGCCATCGTTTTTTTCGCTCTCTTGTGATAGAGAGAGAGAGAGAGAAGAAGAAGAAGAAGGTGTGTGTGATGATGGTGAAGAAATGAAGAAGATGAGAGACTCTCTGCAACTCTTATTTTATGAGCAAGATGATTTTTAGCCAATCAAACAAAATTTCGCCATCTCTTCGTCTTCACTAAGGGACAACTTGGATCATATCTGACCGTTGGATCTCACTGAAGGGTATAATCGTTACCGTTGATTAAGGCTAAGAGTTTAGTGATCATCTATGCCTTTCGCTATTTTTATTACCATTTTCCTTTTTTCAATTAGTTCTTTGGATATTCCGCCATAATGAAATCGGATAAAATATTTAAATGAGAGATAAAAATCCTAAGGTACGACAAAAAAAAAAAGGAGTTTATTTTTAAGGAATTGTTTTGCTTATTATTCTTGAATATACAAAACCAGAAATTCAAGTAACGAGCCTACCAACTTTGGTTAAGCCGGTTTAAAAGGCACCCAAAGATGGAAAGTCTAGACCATTGAAACTACGTAAAGGAAGGTTATAGGCCCAAAATAAGAACGTGGGAATACATATTTTTACCATATAGGCCCAATAAATTACTATGGGCCTTAAAATGTAAACTCATTCACCGTCGACTTCACCGATCTCGTGATTTGCCGGTGGTTCTACACTGACAGAGTATTATCGGCGGGCGGGATTTTATTGAATCCCTTTCTCTTTCCAGTAATGGCATCTAGAGCAGAGGAGAGATCGCCGGCGAAGATCAAAATCGAAACGGCGGTTAAAATGGAAGAGGAAGAAGACGACGAGCATGATTCTAAGGAGAGAGTTCTGCAGAGGTACTTTTTACAAGAATGGAAGCTCGTTAAATCCCTTCTCGATGATATTGTTTCAAATGGCCGTGTCGTTAATCCTACTTCTGTTCAGAAGATCCGATCCATTGTACGCTTCTTACTCTTTTTGACTTCATCTACTTGATCGACCCATGTTTCCGTATCATGTTGATTTACCTTTTCCGACTTTGTTTTGTTGTATTGTAGATGGATAAATACCAGGAGCAAGGTCAACTAGTGGAACCTTACTTAGAGAGTATAGTTTCTCCATTAATGTTTATCATCCGCTCCAAAACAGTTGATTTAGAAGCCAGACCTGATGAAATTCTTGAGATTATTAAGCCAATTAGCATCATTATCTATGCTTTAGTTACCGTCTGTGGGTACAAAGCTGTTATCAAGTTCTTCCCGCATCAAGTATCCGATCTGGAACTCGCTGTGTTGCTCCTGGAGAAGTGCCATAGTACAAATTCTGTTTCTGCTTTGAGGCAAGAAAGCACTGGAGAAATGGAAGCCAAATGTGTTACTCTTTTGTGGCTTTCGATCCTTGTGTTGGTTCCGTTTGATATTTCTTCTGTTGATACAAGCATTGCTGATGACAAGACCTTTGGTGTGGACGACCTTGCTCCTTTGGTATTGAAGATATTAGGTTTCTGTAAGGACTATCTATGCAGTGCTGGACCAATGCGCAGGATATCTGGATTGCTTCTATCGAAGCTTTTAACCCGTCCGGATATGGGAAAAGCTTTTTCAAGGTCTGTTCCTACCACCATCAGTGCTTCAGTTTTTTTTACTCTGAACACTTAAGATTGTTTATAAACTGCTCTTTACTCTTGTAACATGTACAATTTACTTACCGTGAATGGATGAACTAATTTTCTTTGTTCTATTGTGGCATTTCCGTTTCAGCTTTTTTGAGTGGACACATGAAGTTTTATCTTGTAAGGAAGATAGTGTCACAAACCACTTTCGCTTGCTTGGTGTAATGGAAGCTCTGTCTGCCATTTTTAAGGTTTGTAACCTGGAGTTGTTCTCTTTGTTTTAATTTCGGTCCATATTTAACACGTCAAACATATATAGATGTCTGTAAAGTACAGAATCAATTTGATTTGCCTGTTTTTATCTTGTAGAAATATTGCTGGATTTTATTACTGAACCTGTTGCAATTTGCATCTGGATCTAATATGTCTACTCATGTTGGCAGACTGCTAGCCGGAAAGTGTTGCTAGATGTGCTTCCTATTGTTTTGAATGATGTGACCGTGCTAAGCAAATCAAATGCGGCGGCTAAAAGTTCTCTGCTTCGCAAGTATTTGATCAAGTTAACTCAGAGGATAGGGCTTGTTTGTCTTCCTCATCGCTCACCTTCCTGGCGCTATGTGGTACATACCTTTTTGCTTGTAGACTAGTAGTGCAAAGAGCGCTAAGATGGGTTTTATAATTTTTGAATTACCTGCAGGCTCAAACTGTCTCTCTTTCTGAGAATATGTCTACGAGTTCATCCCAAAGATTGCCGCCTGATCATACTGTGACTGCCATCTTACAACCAGAAAGTTTGGATGATCAAGAGGATGAAGATATGGATGTTCCAGAAATCTTAGAAGAGATTATTGAAATGCTACTCGCGGGTTTGAGGGACACGGTATGTTTAAAGGGTGAGATACTACTGTTAGGCTGATAACTTGAGGTGGTCATGTCTCAACTTATACGACTAGATGCCCACACAATAATTTGAGTATAAGTACGCTGCTTTGTACCAAGTTGTAGACTAGAGTAACCAGATAATACTTAAAAACAAATCTTGAATGTTATAAATATCTGACATGGCACGTAAAGCTGTGATGAGCCTGAATAATATCTGATGTGAACTTTCCACCACATGAAACTTTGAGCTGCCAACCAGACAATCACACATGTTACTAGTTTCTTGAAGCATTGTCCTTTTTGAAACTTTGCCATCTTCTGAACCGTGTAGGACACCGTGGTTCGTTGGTCTGCTGCGAAGGGTATAGGTCGTGTAACTTCACGTCTAACATCTGTTCTGTCTGAAGAGGTGTTGTCATCTGTATTGGAGCTGTTTTCACCAGGAGAGGTACTCGTAATGGATATATGGCAGCATGGCTTGTGTGTACTTAAATCCAATTAAAAGCATGCATTATCTAGCTGACAGTTATTGTAATTTTCATGATATTCAGGGAGATGGTTCATGGCATGGGGGTTGTTTGGCCTTAGCTGAACTGGCTCGTAGAGGGTTACTTTTGCCTAGAAGTTTTCCACTAGTCGTTCCAGTTATTGTGAAGGTCGTACTCTATCCCATGCACATGATTACTTATATCTATAGTCATCGCATACAAAGCAATGGCATCACCCACCCACAATATGCAGAAGTTCTATGAATTTACATCTAAATATCATTTACAGGCACTCCATTATGATGTTCGCCGTGGTCCACACAGTGTTGGATCTCATGTGCGTGATGCAGCTGCCTATGTTTGTTGGGCATTTGGACGTGCCTATTCCCACAAAGATATGAAAAACGTGCTGGATCAGCTTGCTCCAGATTTATTGATAGTAGGTTCCTTTGATAGAGAGGTACTAATCTCTCTTTTGACTATAAATTTTTCGCCGTTCTTGAAGCACTCTGTTTTTGTAGATCTCTTCACTTCGTAAAATTTATTGATTTTTTTTGTCAGGTGAACTGTAGAAGGGCTGCTGCCGCTGCTTTCCAAGAGAATGTTGGAAGACAAGGAAATTACCCTCATGGGATTGACATAGTGAACATAGCTGATTATTTTTCCCTTTCTTCTCGGATGAACTCTTACCTTCAGGTTGCTGTTTTCATTGCTCAATATGAAGGGTATCTACATCCTTTTGTGGATGAATTGCTATACAACAAGATCTGCCACTGGGTATGCTTATCTTAAACACTGTTTGATATTTGGTTTACCTCTGATTTGTCTGAAAATCTAATATCTCTTTAATGCCCTGCTTGTATTTAATGTGGGAACGGTTTCTCTTAAATGTTCAACAACTAATTTCAAAATTCAACAACTCATGAACTAGAGCCAATAGCTTGATTGGGAACTGTATCAAGTAACTTTCATAATATGTTAATTATTCAATCTTGTGATATCAGGATAAAAGCTTGAGAGAACTTGCTGCAGAAGCTCTTGCTGCTCTTGTTAAGTACGAGCCTAAGCACTTTGCCAACTATGTGCTGGAGAAACTAATTCCTTGTACCCTTTCAACTGATTTGTGCATGCGCCATGGTGCAACATTGGCAGCTGGAGAGGTTGTGTTAGCTCTGCACCAGTGTGGCTATGTCCTTTCTGCTGGTTAGTACCACCTATTTATTCAGCTTTGGCTTTTGTGGCATCTTTGCATATGCAAGTACTGATCACTTTTAGTATGGAAAACCAAAAATATGGGAACCATCTTGGAATCTAGACTTTGTTAGCTGATTTTTGATCAGATGAAAATTAACAGAGCTTGATGGTTGGCATCGTTATCCCTTATAATTAAGGTTCCTGTTGCACTCAATTTTTACAGATAGCCAAAAGCGTATGGCTGGGATTGTTCCATCCATTGAGAAAGCACGCCTTTACCGTGGAAAAGGTGGAGAAATAATGCGACTGGCTGTCTCACGGTTTATCGAGTGTATCTCGCTATCTCATGTGACATTAGCTGAAAGAACAGAAGGGATCTTGCTTGATACTCTCACTGAGAATTTAAGACATCCCAATTCTCAAATACAGGTACCTCTTTTTCTAAATGTCATGAAGTTATTTATTTTCATCCAGTTAGCAGAATTCATTAGTTGACGAGTTTCACTTATTATACAGAATGCAGCTGTCAGTGCTGTTAAACAGCTTGTGCAATCCTATCTCGTTGGCAATGATAAGAAATCTGTTAATTTAATATCAAAACACCTAAAACATCTAACGGACCCAAATGTAGCTGTCCGAAGAGGTTCTGCACTTGCACTAGGTGTCTTGCCATATGAACTATTGACTGCAAAATGGAAGGATATAGTTTTGAAGCTCTGCAGTGCGTGTAAGATAGAGGTAAGGAAGACTATATATGACTTCATTACAGAATGATATAATTGACTTTGGAAAACAGAATGAATAAACTGACTTTGATGGATGTTTTTTCTTTCAAGCAGGTGAACCCTGAAGACAGAGATGCAGAGGCACGTGTGAATGCTGTAAAAGGACTCACATCCGTGTGTGAGACTCTTACTCAGAAAAGGGCTCCTGATCCTGAAAACGATGACCTGTCTCTTTTTCTTCTTATCAAGACTGAAGTGATGGATACTTTACTGAAAGCTCTTGATGACTATTCAGTTGATAACCGAGGTGATGTAGGTTCTTGGGTTCGTGAAGCTGCAGTCCATGGCCTTGAGAAGTGTACATATATCCTCTGTAAGAAAATCGGAATAAATTCAGAGGGTGATCATAACGATGATACGTCCTCACTTTTCGATTCAAATCTTGCGACCCGTCTAATTGGAGGTATTGTGAAGCAAGGAGTGGAGAAAATGGATAAATTAAGAGAAACAGCTGCAAAGGTTCTTCAAAGGATTTTGTATCACAAATCTGTTTCCGTCCCTCATATACCTCATAGAGAAAAACTGGAAGAAATTCTTCCCAACAAGGCAAGCTTACAGTGGGCGGTAAGCTGATCCTGGAGACTTTGTTGCTTTGTCGTCTATTTGATGGAATTTCTTATCTGACTATAAGTTACCTATCTTCCTTTATAGGTTCCGGCTTTCTCTTTCCCACGTTTTGTGCAGCTATTAAAACTCCGTTGCTACAGCAAAGAGGTGATGTCTGGATTAGTAATTTCTATTGGAGGATTACAAGATTCACTTAGAAAGGCTTCTCTCGTTGCATTGTTGGAGTATATGAGGGAAGGTGAAGCTAAAGACCCTAAAGAACAACAATCCAGAGAGTCTGCACTGGGAGATGACATTCTATGGATACTTCAAGAGTACAAGAAATGTGACAGAGTTATGGTACCCTGTCTACAGGTAAAACACCCCGTCTTATTATATAGTAACCTCTACTTCCATGTGGTTATGGCTTAACCTCTCTCTTTTACACAGACAATTGAGATCCTCTTCAGCAGCAAGATCTTTCTGAATCTAGAGGTTGGTTTAAAATTTTCCTCTTTTGATAGAATTGCCAAAGGTTATAGATTGATTCTAAACACATTCCATACAAAGCTAATCTTGTCATCATTTTATTTCAGTCTTATACCTTGAGTTTCTACGCGGGTGCCATGGATTCTCTAGCCATCGAACTAAGAGCTTCTAAGGATTTCACAAAGTTAAAAGCAGGCCTTGCAATACTTGGATATATCGCTTCAGTCTCACATCCCATCAGCACAAAAGCATTCTCTCAGCTTCTATCATTCCTTGGCCACCGATACCCAATGGTTCTTGTCACTTCAATATTAAACACATTTTATCTACATCTTAAAAATATTTGGTTACTCAAGACATTTTGTTTTCACATGATCCAGATCCGAAAGGCGGCAGCTGAACAAGTCTATCTTGCGCTACTTCAGAACGGAATCTTAGTGACAGAGGAGAAGATGGAGAAAGTTATAGAGATAATTTCAGAATCTTGTTGGGAAGCAGACATGGAAACGACTAAGAGTCAGAGGTTAGAATTGTGCGAATTGGCTGGTTTAGACCATGAAGTAGTGTTCAAGACAAGAAACAGATTGGCGACTAGGGATATAGCCGGGAATGAAACGACTGCGTCTGACGAGAACGCGTCTTACTCTTCCTTGGTCGATTCCTCTGGCTTTTGATTGCACGCTTTGTCCTTGAATTAGTTTTGTCCCTCTTGTTTTTTGCATCGTTTTGGTTTTGTTCTGTTGGTATTTTCGTCCATGATTAGCCGCTGCTACAATAGAAAAAAAAAACCCTAATAATGACTAGACCGACCGACCTAAGACAATACTAAAAAACCTCTTAGCCGCTTTCTTATTGTTCGCGTTAGAGCCAAATTTAAATTCGTGAAATCTCTAGTCATCAAGGACGCGTAAGGACGAAGAAAAGACCAAACAAGTGAGCTCTGATTATAAAGTTATATTTTTTCTTCTTTCCCCTTGCGTAAGTATCAACTACACTAAAACTTGCCTATCGATTTCACATTGCAGCCTCCAAGGTCGAAGCCAGAAATCAATAGTGAATATGGAGGCAAAGGTATTTATATATATCCATATTCAAGTGGCTATGTATCTTGTGCGGATGGTGACAATCGAGGTTTTGATTTGCAGCAATATTTTGAGAACAGATTGATGTATCTTGCAGCAAAGAAAAAAAAGGGAGAGAATCCATACCCACACAAGTTTTTAGTTTCCATGTCAATCTCTGAATTCATTGAAAAGTATACTACTTTAAGCAACGGAGACCATGTTGAAGACGACCAAGTTTCTCTAGCTGGTATGATACACCCATCAATGAAGTTTGTTAAGTTTTGCTTTGAAAAGAGTAAATATTTATTCAACGTTTTTTTTATTTATTTTTTGAATTTGGTAGGACGGATAATGAGCAGGAGATCTTCCTCTAGCAAGCTTTTCTTCTATGATTTACATAATTGTAGTTCTAGGGTCCAAGTTACAGTTGATGCAAGGTGACTAATTGGTTTTACTTATTCTCCTTAGAGTTGTTTATGTTTAACTAGATTTTTTTTTTAACTTTGTGATGCCTCAGTAAGTCAGAATTAGATGAAGCTGAGTTTACGAGGGTCCATGCTAATGTTAAGCATGGAGATATTGTCGGTTTCACTGGATTTCCAGGTTCCTAAAGCCTCTTTATTTTTTCTGATTACCGCATATTCTCTGTATCTTTATCTGAACACTTATTGTCCTGTCTCCAGGAAAAACTAAAAGGGGAGAGCTAAGTATCTTCCCACGATCGTTTACTGTGTTGTCTCATTGCCTCCACATGTTGCAAAAGCCTAGTCCTGGTCTTGAGCCTAACTGGGTTCCAGGAAAGCCTAGAACTCCAGAAACTTATATTCTTAAAGATCAGGTACCATTAAACTTTTGCTCTGAATTGGATTATTAATGTTTTCCAGTTTTTTCCTTTTCTTTTTTCGTGTCCCAAAGATTCTGTCATTCTATCAGTCTGTTTCATTTGTGTCAGGAAATTCGGTATCGCCAGCGTTACCTTGACTTGATGCTGAACGATGAGGTCTGCCAGATATTCATGACCAAAACTAAGATAATCAAATACATTAGAAGATACCTTGATGATCTTGATTTCTTGGAGGTACAATGTTTCTCTTTTTTTTCTCTCAAGAAAACTTTCCATACCTTGTTTTCAGTTTGTTTGCGAATTTGATACAATGTATGAACTTTCTTACTTAGGTTGAGACACCTATGATGAGTATGATTGCTGGTGGAGCAGCTGCACGTCGATTTGCGACCCATCACAATGATATGAATATGAAGATGTTCATGCGTATCACACCAGAACTCTATCTTAAGCAGCTTGTTGTTGGCGGTTTTGAGCGTGTTTACGAGATAGGAAAGCAGTTCAGAAATGAGGGTATTGACTTGACACACAATCCAGAGTTCACCACCTGCGAGTTCTATATGGCTTTCGCAGACTACAATGACTTGATGGAGATGTCTGAGAAATTGCTCAGTGGTATGGCGAATACCTCTGATTTGCACTGAGTGCTATGTTTACGTTTTGAACCAACCTTACTTAACATTCTCTTCCTGTTGCAGGTATGGTGAAGGAATTAACAGGGGGCTATAAAATCAAATACCACGCTAATGGGTATGATAAGGAGCCAATTGAAATCGACTTCACTCCTCCATTCAGGTTCATGAAATATTTTGATGGATCATTCCTAAGATCAGGACAGAGCTCTTCTTTTTTTTGGGAATGATCTGATCTTCTTTATTTATTTCTCTAGGAGGATTGAGATGATGGTAGAGTTAGACAAGGTGGCCAACCTTAATATACCAAAAGATTTGGCTAGCTGGGAAGCTAACAAGTATCTGATTGATGCATGTGAGAGGTTTGATGTCACATGCCCACCTCCTAAAACGACAGCTCGTTTGTTAGAGAAAGTAATGCTATCCCCTAATAATATCATTTGGAAGTAATGTGATCACTTTATGCTTATTTAAGATATCTGTAATGTTTTCACTCTGTAGCTTGTTGGACACTTTCTGGAAGGGACATGTGTTAACCCCACTTTCATAATGAACCAACCCAAGATTATGAGTCCATTGGCAAAATGTCACAGATCCAACGAGTTCCTGACTGAACGATTTGAGTTGTTCGTCAACCAACACGAAGTAAGCTTTATATATAGGAATCGTGATATATCTTTTTTTGTTATTTGGTTAAGCAGAGTTCCTTCCTCTCTACTAAACTGTTTTATTTGGTTGCAGCTTTGCAATGCCTACACTGAGTTGAATGATCCTGTGGAACAGCGGCAGCGCTTTGCTGATCAGCTCAAGGTATATTAGAAGCCATCACCACACTCCTAGTAATCTTAGCCTCTCTCTCTCTCTCTCTCTCTCTCTCAACCTTGATGATTTCAGGATCGACGATATGGAGATGATGAAGCTATGGATGAGACGTTTTGCACGGCTCTAGAATATGGATTGCCTCCTACAGGTGGTTGGGGAATGGGAATAGACAGGCTTGTTATGTTGCTTACCGACTCACAGAACATTAAGGTCCCTCTTTAATCTGAATACAGTCTAGGAAAATCCAGTGGACTAGTATATATTTTCTTACTCATGTTCTGAATTTTGTTGCAGGAGGTTCTCCTCTTCCCAACAATGAAGCCTGGTCTGGACGAGCCAGCTGCGCTGCGACAGGTAGAACCAAATATATCTATTATACATACTCCTTGATCTTGATCTTTTTAGTGTTTTAGATGTTGTGCCATTCTTATATGAAATTGTTCATGTGATTCCTTTTTTTCTTCTTACAGGGGAAAGAGACAACCGAATCGACTGAAGAAGACCTGTGTTGTGGACTTTGCATTATCTTTTGTTTACTATTTATATTATGTTATGCATGCTTTAAGGTTTTAACATGATTAAAAGAAGAAAAAACTCAAAAAGAAAAGACTTGGGTAGTTGTTAAGGTAAAGCATGTAGAAGAACAATATTTTGAAAACATCTTAAATATATATATGTTGGCATTGATATAATGTTGATGATTCATTCAAGAGTCAAAAGTGACTCAAACCCCGGCTGAAAACGGCACACCGGTGATAGGGATCCAAGAATCTCCTTGAATGAATCGGCTGACCGTGAACGGAGAAGCCTCCTCCTGGCCGCGAAGGACGTGAAATCCCGGCCAGTTCACCCTTCGGCTTGTCCCTGCTCCAGCTCCGGTGTTCATAAACTCGCCGTAATACAACGTTGACAGAGCATAACTGCCACTCCATTCTCTCCACCCTCTCGGGTCAATCAACTCGTCGATATCCGTTTTGAGAAGCACTGTCCGTGAGTACTTCTTCCATGGCCGGCCCAAGTAGCTCTTAAACCGGCCTTTAACCGCCTCGAATTCTGGTGCGGCCCTGATCCGTGAATGTTGGATCGAAATGCCTATTCAAGTAACCGTAAACAAAAAATCCATCAGAAAACAGGTTAACATTAACCATGGATTTCATCAATACGAATTTCAGTTAGGTTTTGGTTAAAAACTGGTTTCCAATTCGATTTCTGTTCAAGTTTGATTATTATATTACTCAAACGTATACTTAAAAAGTTTAATTCGGTTTTCTTCCCTTTCGCATTCATTCGTCTTTGGATTTTCATATGAACAAATTTTTAAAAAAACAATTTTATAAGAATTGGATCGGTTGGTTCTAATAGTTTGGTCTAGTTGATGACTTCTATATTTGATAGTCAAGAATTAGTCAAACAAAAGAAGAGTACCTGAATTTGAATGTGGGTCGTCTCTCCCTTGAGCTGTGATCATATTGCCTTGATGATCCATAGGCCGTCTCACAAATATATCACAGTTCTGAAAAACAGCTGTCGCATCTCCAAATATGAAATCAATCGTACCTATCCAAAAATTTCCAAAACAAATCTTAATCCATATATACAATGATGATCATTAGTTTCATCTATATTTATGTATAACCTTAAGCAATTTAATTATATATACAGTTGGTACCATAAATATGACAATCTCGGTAGAATTGACGAAGTGAGTGGGTGAAAAGAGTATCTTGATATCCTTTGAAACTACAACGATAGAATAAAGACAAGTCCGAGCTCACTCTCAACGCCACAGCTTGGTGTTTATGTGGTCCTGCAGTGTTCTCGAATGTCATGTCCCGCGCCCAAAATCCATCCCCGGACACTCCTATATAACAAGTAAGCAGTAAATATCCAACATGCATGATATATGAAGATTGCTAGAAATGTTTATATATTTTATACCAAATGTCGCTGATCCATAAGTCGTGGAACCATCCGGGACGTTTCGGTTATTGGTGACGATTGTACGGTCCATACCATCACCAACTAGCATGATGTTTTTCATGTGTCTATCTATATCGACTTTTTCGTTATAAACACCAGCTTTTATGTAGATTATCACTCTATTCAACCGACTTTTACCCATTCTTGAAACGGCGGCTAACGCTTGGTTTATCGTCCGATGAGTCCCCGAACCGTCCTGAGCCACCACGAAATCTGCCCTTGAACTTGTTGGATTCCATGACACTAACATTCCACCGCTTTGGTTTGGTCTCGATGGTTCATGGTTTGGTCGTCCTGGTCCATGATTTGATCTCGTTGGTCCATGTTTTGGTCTTTCAGGTCCATGGTTCTCTCTAGCTGGTCCATGGCTCTGTCTCGTTGATCCATGGCTCTGTCTCACTGGTCCATGCAGCACTACAAAATGTTTTTAGAGATCCATAATAGATAAACCATGATATCTCAAACAAAAATTTAAACTTACTCGTAGTCTACAATTGTTATTTAGGGATAAAACATGATGAAATCGATCTTTACCCAATTTGACAAACAGAGCGATGCATTTTATCATTATACTTAATTAGGCATACATATTTGTAAATTTTCTTACTCTTTTTCATATGACCTCTAGACTTTTTATAGAAAGCCAAAGCTTCATGGAGCACGAACGTGACGTTGCTATGGACCAAAGGCTTATGACCTTGACGTTGCTGAACCAAACCGTCTAAACAAGTGTGATGGTTCGCAAGCACGCCACTTAGCCACGTTCTAACATCTTCAACGGTAAAATTCTCATGAGCCACGACAAGTTTCGATAGCCTAGCTTCACTCACATCGTAGAGCTTCTCACATTCACTTAACCCCAAATTATAATAACTACTAGTAGCAACTTCACTCGTTGCCTCAACCACAGCCACTGACCCAAAACTAGCCCGGGCTTCAACCACAGCTGTTCGAGCCATCTCAAGTACATCCAATTCGGCTGTGTTTGAGGCGGTTACGACGGCTGCAATGGCTAGCAAGAACATGATGGTGATTAAGTCGGTTACTTTTACAAACGTGTACATTTTTAGTAGATGTTATTATAAGATTGTTGTAGTGTTTTAGTAATTTTCTTGAAATGCGTTTTAAGTAAATGATTATTGTTGTTGTTGTGTATTTAAAAGCAAACGAAGAATGGAACTTGTCGTAGAAACGTAGATGAAGATGGTGGCGAGGAATCTAACACATGGAGAGAGAGATAAGGCACGTGTGAGACTATGTGTAAGCTTTTGTTTATATGATTATTGATGGCCCATGCATATGAGACTAACTTCATTAATTACGTTATACATTTCAGGTTGTAAATTAGTGCGACGCTGTATCAAAGTGACTAAACGTATACGTCTATGTGTCCAGAACATAACTTTAAGTTGTTCTTCTTCATAAGTTTATTATTTTCAAAGGCTGAGCTGAGACTTGAGAGATTACTGGATTAAACCTAAATTTTTATATACTGGTATATAATAATAAAACTTTTTGAAGGAAATCATAATCCCATTATTACAATGGATATGATAGCTTTTCCCGTACCACAAAAAAAAAAAAAAAAAAAAAGAAATAATCCATGAACGATCTCTTTGGAGTCAAAAGGAAAAAAAAAAAGCCATGAATGATCAGTTATATATTTTTTTAAAAAAATAATCATTTTGTTGGAGTAATATGTTGTAACATTAGTGAAAATTACCATTTTTGTCATGGGTTTATATGTTTTTGGCAAAATATTTTCTTGAATTAACTAAAAAAATTTACAAAAAAGGAATGGTTGCATGAAAAATGTTGTAGATATGTTACACGGCTTAGAAGCCTAGTAGGCCGAGACCCAGCCCATAATAATTTGATGGCCCAATGGAATATGTGGTGCAACCCATAAGAACCGGGTAGACCCGGATCGTATTAACACGGACCAAAGAGTTGAATGAACCTCTCAAGTCTTAAAACTTTATAAGTCTTAACTCTTCTTCTTATTTTTTTGCCGGCAGAACCTTTAAAGTTCAAAGATACTCAATCGATCGAATCACGTTGTTTTCCGAAAATGATAATATATCCGAATGTTATCATATTTTACTATCTAAGTATGAGTATCGAATAATTGCGCCTGCTAAGGAAAGTGGATTTAAGTCTAGAACTAGTTAATGGAATAAAGTTATCATCTTTTTAAGGCAGACAATACGGGTCACACTATACAAATATTTAATACCTCAAAGCTAAATCATATTGTATAAGTCACTAATAGTTTTCTTTTTTGATAAACCAAAAAATTCAGTAAGGAGCGGTAACGGATGTGTTCCTCCTACAAAATAAAAGGAATAACAAGAGAGTCCCCCAAAAAAAAAAAAAAAAAAAAATAGGTCCCTAGAATCTTTTATCCCGAATCATGTCTTTCTTTATATCAATCTGCAAATCATCATAAGAAAAATTATGAGATCATGATACTTATTTCTAAATATTTTTAAAACGAGTGATTTGATCTTAATCATGTGAAGATTTGACAAGTAAGTATAGGCTTACGCATGGAGTTTCTACAAAGGGAGAGGAGAACAACAAGAATTGCGAATCCAGCAATGACTCCTACGATGATCGCGATTGATTTCCCCACGTGATCTCCGTTCGTTGGATCTTAAAAACGAAAGTTAGATCTTATTGTATGTGACAAATTAAAGTACATAAGATAAGGCCATAGTATCAAGCTAAGAATTAGATTTTCTAAGATGCAATGACTTTTGGACTAAGTGATATTGATCAAGCTATAAAGAATATATAAAATAAAGTTGAAAATGGGGACATGGGTGGCTATGCCTATAAAGAAAAGAATCATTTATTGCAAACAAACATTCTTTTCTGACCAATGATATTATAATCATGATACTCGAATTTTCCAACGAATATATCAAAAGATTAATTTTATTTTATTCAATACTTAATGGTGTCTTTCCAGTGGGAAAAAAGCGACGAAAATTTTATAATTTCTTCAGCTTTCTCGTGCTACCAAGAAACGACTAGACTTGTGATTTTCTCAATTATAAGCGGCGGAAATTTAAATTATGCCGAATTCTCTCTCACACATTTCTAGACAATTCATTACTACAATTTTCAGTTATATTATTATGGCATTAGGCATAATTCATGAAGATAATTAACAAACTTTACGTAATAGCTAATAAATGAAATGAAGATTTAAATTTATGGACTGACCTGAAGAGAAGTCATAGTAACCAGAACCCCAATAACGAGCATAGCACTGAGCCAAGTAAACCTCAGCTGCAACCGCCGAGCCACATAGATTCTTTAATTTCCCGACAGACTCCGCAAGACAAGCCGTACAGTCACTAGGACTCAAGTCACCAACACACTGAGCATAACCCTCGACTAAACCGGACCGGCTAACTTTGTAACCGAGTTGAGTCGACTCAAGATCCGACAACACATCGTCTCTCCGTTTAAAGAAATCGTAGTCATTCTCAACGCTCTTTGAACTACACTTTTTGTACCTAAGACTCGTATCTGGTTTCCCAAGAAAGTCGTTGGTCTCGTAACGTAAGAAGCAGCCTTCGAGCTGGAGAGAAGCGCCGTAAGAGTAAGGACAAATGAGAGTGATTTGATCGACTGAGGTTTGGATGCATTTTGAGCAGTCTGATGATCGGAGATCGTCACGGCATTGATAGAGGCCGAAGACGGCGGAAGAGGAGGAGGAGTCGTTGCCGACGGCAAAGCTGTTGAAGGACGCGTCAGAGGAGGAAGTGACGACAGAGGAGAGGAAAGTGTCACGGTTTGATTCAAAAGGTGTGTTTGGTGTGTATTTTTCCGGTGAACATCCTCCGTAGATGAAGATGTGAGATTCTGATGAAGATCTTGAGGAGGATGATGAGTAAAAGAAGAGAAAAAGGAAGAAAGAGGAGAGAAAGAGTCTTCTCATATTTTTTGTTCTTTGAGATTGTTTTCAAATGAGCTTTCGTTTTCTATGTATCTTATTCATAGTGTTTTATTTTAAAATAGTTATCGAGAATGATTAGGCTCATCACTATGGGACCGAATTGTAAAAAAAATATATCGTTTATAACTCACATATGCATCCTAATAGATTTGAACTCGCTTAATATAACTGGGACATTAATACAAACATGTATACATACTGTAGTTATGAAATAAGTGGATAAATGTAGGATGAATGAAACTAAAACTAGATAATAGATCAACAAGCCTGCAGGTCTAGAAAAATATGTATTTAGCTGGTCTAGAACATTCACTTGTAACGAATCAATACCAAAGTGTAGACAAATTGGATGATAACATTTGGTATATTATTTTGTTAGAGTGCCTAAAATGATTTAGACATAATTAAAGAAGATTTGGCTTTGGGGTATAATAATTTCTTGAGACTTCTTTTGTGCAAAGAGGGTCCCATTTTGTTCGATCGCTAGATCGATTCCATCACACATATTCTCCTCAAGTTAGTGGAGAATTTTCAAGTGATAGAAACAACTTTCTTTAAATCCTGACCACGACCAAAAGGCTTTAGCTTGATCATCATCATCGACTCAATTTATCTACAATACACTTACAAGTATTACTAAACTGGAACCGTAAACTTGATCATCATAGGTTCAATAATAAGAATTCGAAGAAGAAAGAAAACGACTAAAGGGCTTAGCTTCAAATATATAACCTAGGCAAAATTTCGATGCTACTCTACCTATCTTCACCTCTACAAAAGTGCAATTTCGAAACGTGAGATGAGAATTTGCTCATGGACGCTGCTACACTCGTTTTCTTCTTCATCTAACCATAGAGTGAGCTTCTTGAGAAGTGTTGCATTCTCTAAGATGTAGTTAGCAAACTCTGTTTCAGCTTTTCGGCTTCTCTCTTGGCCAGCCTTGGGCGTCATTTTGATTTGACATTCTCAATGGATGTTTTGAGACATTGTGGCACAGGTGAGCTTGCAATTTCCTCCATCTTTGGATAACCATGAAGCTCCTACATAGGGAAACACCATAAGAATGTATAATATATATATAGAAACTACATACTCTCAAATACCAAGAGAAGGAATCATTACCAAGTCTATAGATTTTAGGTTGGGACAGCTGGAGAGAGATATACAGGCAACATCTCTGAAAAGTCGGAATGGGAAAAAGCTTACAAACGGGTCAAGTTCTTAAATTCAGGCAGTTGTTGCAGTTTAGAGTAAGCATAGTTGCCCTGTCAAGAACCAACCCTTGGTAAGAACAAATAAAGAAAGAAGAATATATCATGATATTGCGTTGAAATAGATACATCTAGAGTATTGCCAGAGATGCTAGCTAAGATCTGTGACCTCCGAGAACCCTGCAAAAAACTTGTGCAAAGTCTGCGTCATTGAAAAGTCATCTTTCCCAACAAAGCGGGCATCGATACACATCTTGATAGACGAACTAACAATCGCTACTCTGAAGGAGTCATCATCATATTCTACCTTATAGATATATATATCCTTAGTAAACTCAAGCTCCTTAACGTCTGAGATCGCACTTTCAAAAGTTCCACTCCGATATTATAAATGCTCAAGACTTGAAGAACTGGAGAGCATGAGATAAGCATCTCTAGAACCACATCACTCGGAATCCAAATAGACCCTAAATGCATAACCTCTAGGTGAGGTAGATAGAAAGACCCACAAGCATCAAAATCATTCAGCATTACATATTCCAACCGCAAGTTTACCAGTGTCTCACACATATAAAAGCTTAGAGGTAGCTAAATAATACCCACACCCGCAAGATTATACATAGAACCGTTAATCGCAAAATGTTGAATTCCACGGGTCAACACTTTGTCCAACAACAAAGTCAAACAGGGTATAACAACATCAGGGCACTTAAAGGTAAACTCGTATATGGGAGATTCCTTATGCAAATTTAGGATTCTGTCGAGAAAATCCTAGACACCACCAGTTACGTACACAATCCAGGAACACTTTGCCAGAGATTTCTCCATCTGGTCGATAAGACACTTGTCCTAACAGACTCACTCGTGGGAAGATTCAAGAGTATCTCGTGCAGCAACTCATTGGGCAGTTGGCTTATCAAATCTTCCAATTGCCCCTGAATTGATCAACTGAACAAAGAGACAAATTAAGACACGATCAGTACACACGAAATCGCATTCATAGAAAGCAAATCAAGTTTCTCACGGGATCAACGTACGAGCACTCAGAGATAGCCAAAAACCTAGTATTAATTTGAGACGAATTTATGGAAAGAAGGGTTTTGGTTTACCTTAAAAAAGACTCTGGCCTAGTCAGAGTATCTTAGTCTTGTAAAGACTCTAGTACAAAGAGAGTGTCTCTATTTTCTTTCTTTTTTACAATAACTAGCGTATATCACAATTATTATATACGTATGAGGTTAATTTCTATTTTTCGTTACTCTTTCTCTGTTTTTAATTTTGTTTTAAGAAAATATTGTATCTCATTGCAGAGCATGAAACCACTCACATTTTAAAATCAAGACTTTAAAAGTGTATTTCTATAGTTTGATTATGCAGTTTTTTTATATTTGATCAACATAGTCTGGACTCTGGAGGTAACCGTGTAAGAGCTTGTTAATCCATAAATCAAAAATCTGATCAAATTTGATTTGGGATCATGTTTAGTATATATCCCTCCTTTTCCCAAAGTTTTTCTACATATATGCAAATATTACTTGGACTAAGATTCAGTTGTCTGACGGTAATTGATCCGGTTTGGTTGAGTTTGGTTATAGAAGTCAAAGATGGATTAGGTTAATAGGTCGGAAGGTCTAACCTTGTGTTCTCAAGTTGGTATATGCCTTTGGAAATAAAGATCAATCATTGATTGTTACATCCACTACTTATCCTTACTAATTTCAACTCGATGGAAAATTGGACCTATCTATGGATCAACTTGGCACTTCAACAACCAACGCAACCCCATAAGAAATCTGAAATACCCCACTGATTTGAAAAATACGTAATTTTCAGACTTATTACTCATCTGTTGTTTGCACAAAAAAAATTACTCATCTGTTGAATATCCTCCAAATTGTTAGCAATGCTAATTTATCAAGTGTGAACATTGTATATAACTAGGTCAGAAGGAAGGTCTTGCTTCTTGCATTATACTATTGATATTTTTAGTTTATTTTATAATTTAAACATAAATGAACAATAAAAACAATATATCATGATCAAATCTCTTGCACAGAATATTAATTTGTTTGAGATATAATAAAACCTAAATTGTAGTATTGCTTACTGTAAAAAATCAAATTAGTCCACTTCTTGATCCAATCTATAAACGAGGCAAGTACGAATTTTCATACAGAGAACACGTGACAATACTCGTTTGTTGTTCCATGCAGTATATACTACAAGTCTACAAGTAGTAGTAGTAAATAAATCTCGTAAAGTGATATTTCTGTGTCGATGTTATTAAGACTATAATTTGCATACATTAATTGTGTTTCTTAACATTATTCCGGTAAATTGGACAAAAATACAAATCAAATGGTAAAAAGAAAAGCTGTGTTATATATCCACGCGTGACTATTCTAGTTGAGCGAACTCAATATTTAGTTGTTGTTTAAACTTTAAACTAATAACTCAATATTCTTTAAATATATATTTTTGGCTGGCCGTGAAATTCTTTTGTGGATTCTCCACTTAAAAGTCATCTGTACGTATTGATATATCGAAAGGGACTCTAATGGCAACGAATTCTTCATTTCAATGCTAGAATATCTCCTTTTGGCAGTACTTTCCCTATAATTTTTCTCAACCATGTCTTCACCAATTCCACATTTGCACGAAACTAGATTGAATAATAATCATATAACCCAGTTAAATTTGGAAGGCTATTATTTTTGCCTAACTCCATGCACTTTTTTCCTAGTTAAATTATCTGATCTGAAAAAACTCTCAATAATGGATTAATTTCCCAATATATGTAGAATTAGTGGGATTAACAATGACGAATTATTGTGATTGATAACAAAATCTTGTGTAGGTCCACAGATGAATAGAATCGTGTTAAACTTTTCTTTGGGTTTTATCATTTTCATAATTCACCTTTAATTCACTATCCTAATCACAAATTCATAATCATAATCATACCAAAAGCAATCATGCAAAACAAAAAATCTCTATATTATTTACATTATCGCCTAAATTTCAAACTTTAAGAAAAACAATCTCACTTTCACAAATACATATCTAACAAAAGGGTAAAAAGAGTGACAAAAGTGAAAAGGTCACAAAGGTAGAAAATAGTAAAAAGAGTTAATTAACTTTTTCATCATCATCTTCTTCCCACCGTCGTTATTGCCGGCGCCGGCTCCAGGGAAGTTTACAGAAACCCGACCCGGATTCAATACGGGTTTGGACCCGTTTGAAATCTGAATAAGGACAAGGGATAGTGATTCCACCTTCTTGGCAAAACCCAAATTCTTCTTCAGCCTCTCTCAGAAGCTCACCGAACAGAGGATGGTTAAAGTAAACGATAGGCACCAAAACTCTCTGAAAGTCGCCGTCTTTTTTACCGATGTAAACCGCCGAGTGACCTTTCGGAACCGGGTCGGGTTGTGCTCGAATCGGTTCTTGACCAATTGGTATGTATCCTGGATTTAAACATTTAGAACCAAGAAACCTGGCGCTGTGGGATGTGAGACTTCGACCCCAACTTATTAGCCTTGTGATGGCTCTTGGCTTGCAAACCGGTCGGTTCGGGCTTAACCGGGTGTATCTACGGATCCGAATTCTCCGGAGGATCCATCTTGAGATTCGTTGAAACGGTCTTCTTATCTTGATTCCTCTTAACCTCCTCATCGTTGACAAAACAAAGTAAGAGAGCTAATTTAAGGCAAGATTGAAAAATGTTTTGAACAGAATCGTTTTGTGGCTGTGTAAACGCTAAAGGGGAAGAGCAGAGTAAGAGACAGAGGCGTTTAAATAGAGAAGAAGCCAAGAGAGACTGAGTCAGCTCAATGGACGGTTAGATGAAAATAAAGTATTTCAACCGTTGGATTAGATTGTAGAAAACGAAACTTCTCCCTTTTTGCTTTTCTCACCTAGAGAATTCTTCATTAACTTTACTCATTAATTAAACGACTTTAGTTTAGCATTAACCACAATTACTTAAAGCATTTTCAATTTCTTTTTCGTGATGTTTACGTAGGAATTGAAATCTTATAACAAAAAAAAATTAATCTTATAACTGAAAAATTTAATCTTATAACAAAAAAAAATTATGTAGATACAGAGAAGAGGATGAGTCAGGGAAGGTTCAACTTTGTTTGATGACAATTATGATGCTATCACACGTGTGATACCCACGTGGCAAACATTTTCTGCCCCGATTAGGTGACAGTGTAACACACGATATCAAAAACATCTTCTGAATTTTTTTTTTTGTCAATGATCAATTTAGCTGCACGTTATATTGGCAATAAGGTTTTTTAAAAGGTTAGTTTGTGTACGGTAATGTCCTTTAGATGCCTCCTATAGATTTATTCATATGCAGACAAGAAACGCACCAGACAATAACTGAAGAGTACACAGATCTGAGTTTGGGCTCTAATTTTATTTTATTTAGACCAATTTGTGTTAATCTAATCAGACCAAAGTTTTGGGAGTATTCATTTATATATTTCTGTTGTCTTCAGACTAAAAGACGATTATCATTATTAATAGATATGAGATGGATTCACTAGATTCGTCTGTGTAACGATGGGATGATTCCAAAACATTATATAAGTATGTTTTCAGTTTCTATAATCAAGGATTCAAGATTTAAGTGTTGTTTCTAATCTTTTGGAACAAATAAATGGCATACTAATATGCATAAGTGATACATATATATATATATATATATATATATATATATTTATAGTTTTTTATTCCAATGAAAATGATGTGTAAATTACACTATAGAATATGGTTTGCGTGCGAGAAATGCTAGTTTTTTCTTTCCCATTATGAAAATGATACTTTATAATAGTATAATCAACTATTCATCGCTTAATGACTCCGTACAAGCTCATTACGTACACGAACGTGTCACTTACAGCTTTAATGTGTGGGGTTCATTTGACTCACATATTGCCAAATTAATTAAACCTCTATATTATTATTCTCGCATAAATGTTAAATAAATGATACTTTAAAATACAATATATATACATATGTAAACTAAATTTTTGAAATAAAACTAAGTTTACGTGTAGTCTAATGGTTTATGTAAATTTTTCGTAGTATTACTAACTAAATTTAACTTCGGTACAATACAGTTTTTTGACAAAATAAATAAAAAGGAATCATATAAATAAACAAAGAACTGCTTATAAATATCTTTGAGTCAAATTATTATTTCTGTAAATTTCTCTATGTAAATATATATATTCTTTTAATGTAAATTTCTCTATGTAAGATATTGTCAACTACGCGATATCAAAAACAAATTGTCAAATTTGAGATTTCTTGAATATCGAACAACGCCAATACACCATGCGATGACTTTCGATTTTCGAATAATGCTTCCAGTTTTCAACCGTTCATGTAAGACCAAATTTTGTATTTTTTCTTTACAAGGAAGAACTCAACGAAAGAAAGACAGAGACAACCCTTGAAAAGTCACGCATACATAACGTTTATTACTTCATATGTTACATATATAATATACGTCCAATTCCAAATACAATTTAAAATAAAACATATCAATTTGTTGACAAAAACATAGAATTTTCAATTTGCTGGTCGCCGACTGATGGGAATGGTTTGTTACCAATTTATCTAAAATAGCGAAAAAATCCACTAGTAGAAGGTTTACAAAATAAGTGTAGGAAGTCAAACACAATTATATAGTTATACTATATTTTCATTCAAAATAATCTTTGGTCACCAATTCGGATTACGTTTTAGTTGGTTTAAAAATGTTCTTAATTAGCTGATTAATTAATATAGTATATGGATTGCATTTTCAGTGCGATTCAATTCATTACCTACTTTTGGTAGATTAATTTAATAGTGGTGACTCTGTAAAACACATAATCGATCGATCTTACATAGTATTCTTGCAGACAAACATACTTGTATATTATAATGTAGAAATTCTGTAACTAATTATGTGTAGCAAAGCACATATATAACATACGTGAAGATCATTTTAAACAAACACAAATATAGATAAAGAAGTTAATTGTCATTTATTATAGAACTAATGGCTTCATTCGATATACGGTTAAAAAAGAAAAAGGGTTTTGAATCTTTTGATTTTCCTTTTTAGATTTAGAATTGGATACTTCATATTTGTCTTATGCGAAATCTATCCCCTATATAATAATAGAGAAACATATTTTTAAAAAAACCTTACCATCATGTGTTATTAACAAGATTGTCACGCTGATGTGTCGCTCTTACAATGATTTGGCTTCTACTTAGATAATTACCCAAGATTGAGTAGACTATTTACAGATATCCATATATCCGTATATCCATATATCCCACTAATCAAAAACGATTTTCTAATTAAAATTTTTAAAAACACACAATGTATACGAGACAAACTTTATTATTTCTATATTAGCAAACACATAACAAATGTTACATTTTTTCTATATATGCATAACAAATAACAAATCTATATTATCTAATATTAAAATTTAAGACATGCTACGTCCAAGCTTAAACTTAAAATCAAACAGACATTTTTTATTTCATAAATCGAGCAAACTAATGGTCTATATATTACTAGATTAGTTACAAATGTGTCATGATATTCTAATTATTTCGTTAATTAACATTAAACATCAATAATACAAACATCATATCTCTATCTATACATAAAGAATTCGTGTATATGTATATATATTAAATTGATCTAAGGTCTATATTTTTAAATCCAGACTAACATATATATATATATATATATATATATATATATATATTTAACAACTCAAACATGTAAGCGTATAATTCATGTAAATTAATATATTAGAATATATTTTTATAACTTTTGTAGGTACAAATTTTCCTAGGTTCATAAATCCAAACTACATTTATAAAATTAATTCTCAAAACTAAATCTATCATAAAATCAACAATAAATTAATTTTTCAAATATTGAAGGCAATCCAAATTTTAAAAATTAAACGGAACCCTACAAAAATATTTCTCTATAAATATATTCCCTGATATCATCTTCATCCTCTCAAATTTACCAAACACACATCTTCTTAATTTTCGAGCAATCTAAATTTTGTAAATCTTCATCAACTCTTTTACAAAGATGTATATGTGTTTGTTATTTAAGTTACGTTAGAAAAGAAATTGTCGTCTTTAATTATTTTACGGGTAAAACGAATTTCGATACGAAAAATCGATGATTGGAATATAAAAAGTTTTTTTAACATGTTGAGAGAAAAAAAAGTTGTATAGTGGGTATTAAAGGTGAAAATTTCGATTAGCGATTGGTTTTGGTGGGTATAGTGGGTATTAAAGGTGAAAAAGTTGTATAGTGGGTATAGGATTGGTTTTGGTAATATTCAACAAAGGACAAGGGAGTCTCTTGCCCACCTTGAATCTGTGCAATCTTCTTTGTTGACCAATCCTTCTCCTTCACTGTTCAGAGAAGAGTTTGTGCAAGCAGAAATGGAATTTCTTTGCCTCTGCTCTTGAAGTGTTTTATAAGAGGAAGTCTCAGATTAGGTGGTATAGTGAGGGGGATGCTAATACGGCTTTTTTCCATAGAGTTGTCCTAGCAAACCATGCTAAAAACTGCATTAAGTTTCTCAGAGGTGCTGATGGTACTAGAATTGAAAATCAAGATCAAATCAAGGACATGACCATTGCCTATTTTCAGAATTTGTTAGGGACTGAGAGCGTTGGTGTCTCTCCTCTTTCTATTGATGAGATTAAGGATCTCACTAACTTCAGGTGTTCTCAATCCTTGGCTTCTCAGCTTTTGGCTATTCCTTCAGATATCAAAATAAAAGACACTCTTTTCAAAATGCCAAGGAATAAGGCCCCTGGTCCTGATGGGTTTCCTGTGGAATTCTATTTGGAGGCTTGGGAGGTGGTAGGTCAGGATATAGTTTATGCAGTTAAGGAGTTTTTTAGCTCTGGTTGCTTACCTAGACGCTTCAATGCCACCGCAATTGCCCTTATTCCTAAGGTTCAAACTGCAGATTCTCTCTCTCAATTTAGACCGGTCTCTTGTTGTACAACTTTATACAAAGTTATTGCCAGAATTCTCAAGAAGAGGTTGAAGTTGTTTATCTCAGATGCGGTTCAGGAGAATCAGGTGGGTTTTGTGAAGGGTCGTCTCCTCTGTGAGAATGTCCTTTTGGCATCTGAATTGGTTGCAAATTTTCATGAGGTGGGAGAGGTTACAAGGGGCTGTCTCCAGATTGATCTCACAAAAGCCTATGACAGTTTGAATTGGGATTTCCTCCTCAATGTCCTTCGTGCCATTGATCTTCCGGATCAGTTTATTTCTTGGCTGAGGGAATGCTTCACTACCACGTCTTTCAGTATTAATTTTAATGGAAAACTCATTGGTTTCTTCCCGGGTAAGAAGGGTCTGCGGCAAGGGGATCCGATCTCTTCCTTGTTGTTTGTTCTGGCCATGGATATTCTCTCCAAGAAAATTGACCGTGGGGCTATTACCCAAGCTTTCAAGCCTCATCCAATGTGTGAAGCGCCTCTTGTTACGCATCTTAGCTTTGCTGATGATGTACTCATATTTTTTGATGGCTCTCTTCCCTCCTTGGAAGGTGTTCTATCTATTCTGGAAGAGTTCAAGATTGATTCTGGTTTGGGTATTAATAAAGATAAAACTGCTGTATTTTTAGATGGAGGAAACTTTGCTGAACTCCAGAGTATTTCTCAAAGTATGGGATTAACTGTGGATCTTTTCCGGTTCGGTACCT